AGTGTGTGTTTGTTTTAAATATATTTATTTTTTCCGGCGGGGGAGAGTGAGGCACCAGGGAAATATCTCGCTGCAATTTATTGCCGGTCTGGGAAAGCTTTCGCCCAACTGTATAGTCTGGTGAAAGCTTTCGCGGACCGGCGATAAATTCTTGCGGGCCAGTGGTGGAAGATCACTGGTCTAAACGACGCTGGACGTCCTCACGCTATGCATCCTCACGCTATGCATTGCCGCGCATGCGCATTAGGTCTCCCCTGCCCGCAGGAGAGGAGCGTGTGCGGAGCCTGGATTCAGGTAAGTGTCTGAATGGGTTTTAACACCTACAACGACGTGGGATGGGGGGGATTCAGGGAGGGGGGATTTCCAGGATTCTCTAGTGCCAGAAAACCGGGTTTGTTTTCCTGGCACTGGAGAATCCCTTTAAGCGGTTAAACAACAAAAATACAAAACAAGAAAACTAAGCAATTCATTTTTAACCATATAAAGCTTAACTTTGATAAACATTTTGATGGTACTAAGCTTTAGTATTGTTGTATAAAGATTTAATACTAATTTTCTTGGCTTTACACTTTTTTCCAATCCTTAACAAATCCATCTGAAGAATGTTACACAAGCATGAATTCATCCAACTTTGTAAATGAAGATAGTCCTGGTACTAAAAGGAATTATAAGCAAAACCGCTTAAGAATTGGTGGACAAAGGAAGAGACAGAGGCTATCTGTGAAGAATTTGAGTGAGGAATCAGCCCCGTCTGAAGAAAACATTGCAGACACTGACCTTTATACAACATCAAAACATGCAAAGACAAACAGTATATTGGTGCGGACTACCGAGGAACCAACCTCATGTGAGGGAAATGCCCTACTCAATGATACTACCCCTGTACAATATGATTTTAATCACACTTCTGAAGAATCTGTATACAGTAAAGGACAAAATCTCAAAAACCTGGATGTTTTCACACAAACAGATTATATGGCTAATCCAACTAAGAGGGAATCTGTCTCTTCTGAAGAGGAAAATCTGGAAGCCACTGACATTGATCCATCAACAAGAGATGCAAAGGGAGACTACATTAATGTTCATATTAAGGAGGAATCATTCTCACCTGAAGATGGAAGTCTAGCAGAAACTGACCTCGATACACAGACAGAAAATACAACTACACATTTTAAGATGCAGTTGGACTCATGGCACGAAAAGAATGTCACCGACTCCAGCTGCTCTACGCCTGCTGAATGTACACAGGAAGAGGATATTTTGTTTACTGATAACACAGAAAGTACAGAAGTGAAATGTGGGGAATTTGAAAGTACACAAACTGCAGAGGAGATGTACACCTGTTCTGAGTGTCAAAAATGTTTTGTGAGCAGCTCAGATCTTATTAAACATCAGAAAGTTCACAAAAAAACAAAGCTGACCTGTTCTGAATGTGGTAAGCAATTCTCGTGTAAGACACGTCTTGTTATACATTACAGAGTCCACACTGGAATAAAACTGCTCTCTTGTTCTGCATGTGAGAAATGTTTTACTGATAAATCAAGCTTGGTTACCCACCAGAGAACTCACATCGGAGATAAACCATTCTGCTGCGCTATGTGTGGGAAATCGTTTACTACTCAGTCAGACCTCGTTAGACATCAAAGGATTCACACTGGTGAGAAGCCATTCTCATGTGCACAGTGTGGGAGATGTTTTACCCAAAGCTCGCATCTCGCAAGGCATCAGAAATGTCACACGGGAAAGAAAAATTTCACGTGTTTGGTTTGTATGACATCATTCCCAGATAACGTAAGTCTTATTGCCCATCAGAGAATTCACACAGCAGAAGATCTGTTCTCCTGTTCTGTATGTGGGAAAATTTTTACAGCTCATTCAGAACTTGTTAAACATCGAAGAATTCACTCAAAAGAAACCCCATTAATATGTTCCGAGTGTGGGAAATGTTTTAAAAGTAAAACAAGGTATCTTACACATCAGCGAAGCCACGTTGCAGAGCCCTCATTCTCATGTTCTGAGTGCAGCAAATATTTTACATCTAAATCAGACTTCCTAAAACATCAGAAAATTCACACAAAAGAGACACCAGTAATATGCTCTGAATGTGGGAAATGCTTCTCCACACAAGCAAGCTTTGTTACACATCAGCTGATCCATACGGGAGAGAAGCCATTCTCCTGCTCTATGTGTAGCAAATGTTTTAGCACCCAGTCTGATCTTGTGAGACATCAGAGAGTTCATACAGGTGAAAAGCCATTCTCTTGTTTAGTATGCGGGAAATGTTTTACACAAAGTTCACACCTTATCAGACATCAGAAAAGCCATACGTGAGAACTCATTCTTGTGTCTTCATATGACAAATGTTCTGTTAAATATCCCAGGATTCTGAAGTTAGAGATGCCGTTCTAATTTTAAAACCCTCCCAAGTGCATCAGGTTTTCATCGTGCTGAGATAAATAAAAGATTCAATTTGAGTATTTTCAGAGTCTTCAGCATCTTCCTAAGTATTCGTGATTATTGACTGCTATGTATTCTTACCTCATCATCTACGGAATGTTACACCTTTCTGAATACATTGATCCAGAAACAAATATCACAAGTATATTGTTCTGGAGCAACGTGATAATTCAGGAATATTTTATAGTTTATGTGAATGTCCCACAATTTGGATTGTAACGTTGACATCAGACCTGCATTTAACCTTTACTATAGGAATAAGCAGTGAAAAAAGGGTCCTTAAACCTACTTTAAATTCTAGCCACTACTGGTCCATGTTCTTTCGAGTGGTCATTTGGAGGTATTGTTCTGTTATATCAAACATTCTTATTAAACTGTTCTAAAACATTCCTTTCTGACACCTATTTAAAATATGCATTTTCTGAGAAAGGGTTATAAGCTGCTCTCCCTTTCCAGACTACGAAACCAAACATGGTCTCATACGTTCAATAAACTATTTTCTACCTATATTTTGGTCATGGGGATGATTGACTTGTCTTTTTTTGATATCTTCAAATATTGCAGTTCATTCTTAATTAAAGATTATTTCATATTATATTGTTAGGTCAATATGGAAAAACCTGCACTTGGGCTTTTGGTTTAATTTAGGCCGGCCTTCTAACATGACTTTTCTTAGATTTATATTCTCCTGTCCTCTTCTATATTTAGCTGGATTAATTTTGCCGTTCATTTGCTAAGTGTATACATTCACCCATAGTGATAGTTCCTACAAATTGGTACTGTGATTTTCCATTAATATTTGCCAGGTCCACCCCTTCCCTGAACTTCATGTACAATAACAGATATGGAAGTCTCAGTAACATACGCTGCAACCTCTTTAGATCATTTTTCATTTGTCTCAGTTTGTGCATAAACAAGAGTCTTCTATACGACTGTCCATTGTTATAGCCGTCACATAGAAGTAGGATGTCCTGAAACCTCCAGGCCATTGTCATAGCCGTTACATAGTAGGAACGAGGTCCTGTTCTGAGTTAAAATATTTCAATATAGTGCTTTGAACAATAATTACCATTATTGGCTCTGATATTGCTGCATCTGACAGACAAAATAACGTGGTATTCTGCTAAATGAGTTTACAATATACGAAGAATGATAGATACTGAGTTGGATTTATTATATACAATACATACTTAGATTGATAAGCAGTGAAATAAATAAAACCAGACTGGGACACAGATATAAACACCTTTTTGGCAAAAATGATCTAAGAGTTAAAAAAGCAGGGGGAGAAAAGCAAATCTAGAACTAGGTCCAGCAGTAAAAGTAATATGAGGTCGGTGGGATATGGGGGACTGACCACCTGGTAAGTATATCTTAATATAAAAAAAAAAAAAAAATGCAGGGCATGACGCTACGCTTTATCTATGGTTAAATGGACACCGTAGGCACTATAACCATTTCATTGATTTGGTGATCGTAGTCTCTCCAGTCAGTGTTAAACCATTTTTACCAGTTTAACACTGAATAAGTGTTGCTTCCCGTAGGCCTTGCCCACACTAGAGCTGTGGCTATAGCAGAGATTACACAACACCTTGCAGCCAAACCGAATCATGCAATGAGCACTGTGATTGGCTAACTGCAGTAATCTGACACTCTCAACCAATCGCAGCTGCTCGTTGCTGCTAAGGGTAATGCATCCTCGTGCAGATGCAGCACAGAGGGAATGGACTGCTGGAGGATCTTGTTTAGCATAAAAACATTAACATTGTTTTAACACTGAATGGAAGGACAGCAGCAGGGGACCAGACACTATAACCACTTCAATGAGATAATGCAGTTGGTGCCTATGGTGTCCCTTTAAAGGAACATTATAGGTTCAGGAATAAAAATCTCTATTAATCCACCATTTTTTAGGTTGCTTTCCCTCCTTAGAAAAGGTGAAAACTCAGCTTATTTCTGGTGCCACTCGATCCGCTGGCCCTGCCCTGATCTGCCTCGGTGACATCATCAGAATTGCGTTTTTTTTTGTTGTTTTTTTTTAAATGAAATTTTGGGATTGGCTGAAATTGGCAAGGAGGCTGGATGGGGGCGTGGCCAAATGCTGTTGTAGCCAATAAGCCTCTCCTCACTGAATCAAGGCATCTCTATGAGGAGAAAATTCAGCGTCTCCATGCAGATTCTGTGCAGCACTGTCCCAGGAAGCACCTCCAGTGGCCACTTAGAGGTGTCCCTAGGGGGCAATGTAAACACTGTACATTAAGCTGTGTTTGTTCTGGTGACTATAGTGTCCCTTTAAAGGGTCCTATTAAGTATAGATGTTTATGTAGATATGTGTGGGGGAAATAAAATGAAGTGGTCTAAGTGTCTGGCCGTAAAGTAAATATGCAAGGTTTTGTTTGTTTCTTTTAAATGTATTTATAAAATATTTTACCAGGGAGGATACATTGAGATTTTTCTAGTTTTCAAGTATGTCCCGGGCCTACAAACATTCCACTGTTACAAGAGGGTACAATATAATATTAAAACCATAAAGTAATAAATACCATATATAAATTTAACACAGAACAGGTAAGAATTGCAGAGGAAACATCCACAGATTTTGTGGGAAGCAAGAATTATCACCATAAGTGTAAGATAGATCTGTCCGATTACCCCTCGGTCCACAGTTTTCTATATATTTTTGTTAATACAGAGGCGAGGACATATTATTAAGGGAACATAACAAAAATTTAATAGAAAAGTAAGTCAGTATAACTCTAATAATAATGAGTATAAGCACAACTTCAGTCAGCAGACGACTGTGGAGGTGGTGAGACTTGGCCACCCAACTCGAGGTAATGACTCGGAGATTGCCTAGCTGAGTAGGGCCCTGTTCACTTCTGTCAGCCGTGTGTCCTTTGCTTGGACAATACGTAACAAACTTATTGGAGCAATAACATAAAATAATACACAAAAGATGTATAAATGCATACACCCTGTTCTAAATTATGCAAATGATATTTTTCTCATTTACCTAAATAATTGATGTAAAACACAGTCAGCATAATTCTCATGTTATCAACTGTTAAGAGTGCAATTCAAATTTTATTGAACAAACCTAATGATAACAGTATTTTTTTTAAAACAAACTTACAATGCACTGTTTCAAATTATTACGCACAGTAAGTTTGAAAACACTTTATAGGTTGTAAAGAACTGAAAATTGTCATTTGTTGTGTTTGTAGCATATTTACTGAAATCAAAAGCTACTTCAATCAAACTTTTATAACATCATTTTAACTTCTTAAACAGTTTAACAGGTCACGTTACATTTTAACATTGGACCCTGTAACGGATCACCTGGCACCGCGACTGGGTACCTCCGTTGCAGGATGCTCCTAGCGCTGCCTGAGGGCTCCAAGCACTCCAGCATACACCATAACCACTGCAGATTCTACAAACCGCCGCAGCTTGGATGGGGTCTCGCTGTCTCCTTCCCACCCTGGACCTCCGACAAGGTTCCAGGTTCCAGTGGGTGAACCTCTCTTCCAAGAGAGGGAAGCAGGAACAAGCTCTTACAAGAGCTTAGAAGTGATTATCCAAGGGAGCATGCAGAGCATGGCAATCTCTTATAGTAATATAGCAATTCCCCCAATAAGAGACAAGACTCTAGATTGAGGGTGAAGAAGAACTGAGGTTTAATGACACACCCTCTGCTTTTATGCAATTCTCCCATGCAAGGGAGACGCCCACAAACAATTATGGATTACCCAATCACACACTGGTTACATCCCACACATCTCCTCCCCTTAGCCTGAGAGGTAACACAATTAGCCGTACAGTTTAAAACATACATTTTACCCATCTTTCATAACTCCAAAACTATACATCCAATATTAATATTAATCAGCACATTTCAAATACAAACATACCCCAAAATCATTCGAATCTGTTCAGCCGTTGTGAAGATAGATATGTCACTTTTGACCGACCACAAGCACATTTTCATGCCCAAAAGAGTTCCATAGAGTTGGGCTGTGTGGTCGGTCAATTTCACACGGAAAAAAGTCTCATTCGAATGCACGAACTGGGTCGTTCATGTAAATAGCTCCGTCTAACAGTGCGTTCGAATTGTCGAACGCACTTCGATTCCAGCCAAAGTGTCGAAGTTCATGAGAAGGTAAGGGTCAGCGGTGTTCATGCAAATGTGTAGCCGATTTTAGTTCCATAGATTCAGTGGCACGCACCGCTGACCGCGTTCGACTAAATTAAAATCGGTTTTTGAAAGGCCATTTCACCTACTTCGGCACTTCAACTGCATCCGAAGTTCCAGTTTAAAATTACAAATCCTTTCTCTGGGAGTTAAAGGGCCAGCAGCAGCAGCACAACACAAATCGATTATGCCCAAACCATGTCTTTAAAGGGCAATACATCACAGGGGCCATAGTCACATGGCAGGAGGCTGGCAATCAGTCTTCTCCAATGCCCAGTGGCGAGGTCAGTTTCACCACAGACCCCTTATTTGATAGCAGCTTCACAAGTCTTGCATCCATTGAACTTGTGAGTTTTTGGACAGTTTCGGCTTGAATTTGTTTGCAAGATGTCAGAATAGCCTCCCAGAGCTGCTGTTTGAATGTAAACTGCCTCCCACCCTCATAGATATTTTTCTTGAGGATGCTCCAAAGGTTCTCAATAAGATTGAGGTCAGGGGAGGATGGAGGCCACACCATGGCTTTCTCTCCTTTTATCCCCATAGCAGCCATTGATGCAGAGGTATTCTTTTCAGCATGAGATGGTGCATTGTCATGCATGAAGATGATTTTATTACGGAAAGCATAGTTCTTCCTTCTGTACCAGGGAAGAAAGTGGTCAGTCAGAAACTCCACATACTTTGCAGAGGTCATCTTTACACCTTCGGGGACCCTAAAAGGGCCGACCAGCTCTCTTCCCATGATTCCGGCCCAATGCATGACTCCACCACCGCCTTGCTGACATCGCAGTCTTGTACACCAACCATCCACTACTCCATCCATCTGGACCATCCAGGGTTGCACGGCACTCATCAGTGAACAGGACTGTTTGAAAATTAGTCTTCATGTATTTTTCTGCCCAATGCGGCTGTTTCTGCTTGTGAGCATTGGTTAGTGGTGGCCGAATAGAAGGTTTATGCACAGTTGCAAGACTCTGGAGGACTCTACACCTTGATGTCCGTGGGACTCCAGAGGCACCAGCAGCTTCAAATATCTGTTTGCTGCCATGTAATGGTATTTTAGCAGCTGCTCTCTTAATCCGATGCATGGATCGGGCAGAAATCTTCCTCAATGTGCCTTTATCTTCACGAACCCATCTGTGCTCTGAATCAGCCACAAATCTCTTAATAGTGCGATGATCACGCTTAAGTTTTTGTGAAATACCTAATGTTTTCATACCTAGTCCAAGGCATTGAACTATTTCACTCTTTTCGGCAGCAGAGAGATCCTTTTTCTTCCCCATATTGCATAAAAATGGTGCTCTGCTTAATAATGTGGAACACCCTCCTTTAGTAGTTTTTCCTTAAATTGGGCTCACCTGGCAATTTAATTATCACAGGTGTCCGAGATTGTTTTCAGTGATCAAAAGAGCCCTGAGACACAATGCCATCCATGAGTTAAACTGAAAAACTAAATATTTAATCTTTGTGACACTTAAATAGAATTTGCATAATAATTTGGAACAGGGTGTATAATGGCCGCAGCATTTATTTAAAGTGTTTTAGAGGCATTGCGCATAACCATCAATAAAATCCATGACCAAAACTGAATCAATAAACCTAACAACAACAGAAACCCCTTAAGGACCGAGGCTTTGGTGAGCTGCAACGCATTTGTGATCAAGTCCATTTTGGTAGTCTTGCTATGCGTTAATTCTGCCACAATTTCCCCCTTTCTGTTTAAGGGCACCCATACATATTATAGGAGGTTTTTTTGATACCCTATATGTACAGGGAGGGGGAAAAGTATTTGATTTGCATGTCAATATTTCACTCTTTGACATGCAAATCAATTTATAGGTGGGGCGGGGCCTGGCTGCCAACCTGAATGGCCGCATGCAGAGTGTGCTCTGTGTGAAAAACTCCTGAAGTGCCTTAAATCTGACTTTTTGCCCCACCAAACCCAGCCATCTGAAGGCTGGCAAAAGGCTAAATCCATTTCTACATCACCTTGCAGCTTTTCAGATGCACAATTAGCAGTCTGGACCAGATACACACTTGCGGCCTACTTGTGTGTGCTGGTGTGGAAGAAGCAGCCGATCTTCCTGCTGGCTATCCTGCTGACAGGACCCAGCACACGCTCCTGCTGGCCGAATCGGCGGGAGCTAAGATGGTGGGCGCAAGTCCCCAAACCATGCCACAAGGCCTGAGGGAATCCACTCCTACAAGGCTGGATGCAATCTTTATGAAATTCTGGCGCATGCTTGAGGAGAGACAAATGAGCGCCAACAAGCAATGCTACTCACCCCCTGTGACTTACGGCTCCACTCCTGATGCAAAGCAACGGAAAAAAAGCCCACACCTAATAGTTCAGGGGCCCACGGGAGGGTAACCCCCACTCAGCAACCACACACAACAGGGGTCTCACGCTCCTCGGTGAACACACAAGCTTTGGCTCCTACTAAGAGGTGGCGGAAGGTCCGCTGTCCTGATGCAACAATTCCACGCTGTGAAAGTCAAAGGAGGAGATCCAAAGCAACAGCCACAACAAAGCCAACTCACCTAAGGAGCCACACTAAGCTACAGCCCACTAGGCGTACCACTACAACGATCCTAAAAGCGAGGAGGTCTGCTGGACACTGCCGACACGCTCTTGATGTGACCTACTGCCAAAACACAACTCACACCCTCGGAGGGATCATATCGGTCGTATGGAAAAGCAACACGAAGGAAGATCGCTATCCCAGGTGAAGATTCATGCTGCACCACAAGCTATCACTTACCTGTGCTCATCATCAGGGACAGACAAAGCCTCGCAGCTCTCTAGCCTGCCTGGACACTCCATGGATCAGGACTATGTACAGCCACAGATGGGCATTGGTTAGCCACAAATGCAGAGTCTTAATCGGCCATAGGCCTCCCTTCATGCTAGGCCGCACACAGCAGCACTAAAATCAGCTAACCTAGCTTTATAATTACAACACCTGGCTGAGCAGACACCCAGTGCAATTATCATCGTCCATTGTTAAACAGTGAGCTGTATGAAGAGGCAACAGATGGAGCCAAGCTAATGCAGCATGATTATTGTTATGTTATGCAGTTGATTTAATTAGATTTTCTGTTGACTAGTCAGCATCATGTGATACTAGCCTGATATAACATATAGATGTGTCAGCATCCGCTATACCTGCACTACCCTATAGCATTGTACACTCAAACCTATATACGCATTAACCCTAGCAGTACTTCATACGTTATGCACAGCCTGTGACTATCGAACGTGGTTGTATTTAAAAATGTACACACGCCATATCAAGATTATAAACCATGTAACTATCCTAACTGCTAGAGAAAACCAGCGTATATAAATAGATGAGGGTGTATTAAGTATTAAGCATTCTGTTCATGGTTTACAAACTTATGAATCACCTTGACCCTCCTACTACCTAGCCGCTAGCCCGAACATCCATTCATTACTCACATAAAGTTATTCTCGTTATAATTAACTATTATCACCAATGTTCAGGGCTGCTATATAAATCTATGATATAAGCATGACTACTATATACAAAAAATGTGCATTTCTCCTGTATGCCATGACTTTGGACACTTGTTTTTGACTATGCCGGTTTGTTTCGTTGTCGTGGCAACGCAGACCAACTTGTAATTCACTGCACCCAAAAATTTTTAAAACATTTTAAAAAAAATAAAAAATCAATTTATAACTTTTCTGACATGCGTTTTTCTAGATTTTTTTTTTTTTGTTATTCTAACTCTCACTGTTAAAATACACCTACCAGTAAAATTATAGACTGATCATTTCTTTGTCAGTGGGCAAACGTTCAAAATCAGCAGGGGATCAAATACAGTTTTTTCTCACTGTATACATAATTCTGAAAATTCTAAAACAAGAACTGGAAGGAGTAAATTACGGTTTTACAGGTAAAAAAAATAACAGGACCCTCGAGATAAACAAGAGGCCAGGTGTGGTCCGTAACGTGAGAGCTAGACAGGATAACCCAAGTAATTGAATGCAATAAAGAAAAAGGAATACCACAAGGGTGGGGGGAGCAATATTTTTTAAAGGCCTCACGCACATGAACGATTTAAAAAGGTTAAACTTTATTATTTGTACTTAAATATGAAGGACCCGATAGTGTATGCGAAACAATCTTTAACTGTATATTGACATGGGGGCATTCAATTTACCCTTATAATTATATTGATTGGAAATTGTATTTTAAAGATAAGATAGATGAGGTTTAGAGATAATCATCACTGGATACTCTATATGTATCAATAATTCAATAAGAGCTATTTTTCTTATTAATTATTTGTCTTTCTCTATAGGTAAGAAAAATATTTTCAATAAAGATTGTTAAAAAAGAGCTCACTTTTGAATGTACAACCCTATTACTGGAAGAATAATTTTAATCAAAACATGTTTGGTAATGTGTCTTAGTAATTATTATAATTAATCATTGTTTATTTTGGGTGGTATAATTATAATTGCAGTAATTATTCTGGAGTAGCATATTGGGTTTAACTTATTATTCCCCAACATAGGGACATATCACTAAGTGGCCCCAGCTGATAGAGGAGACCCCCAGGTATCAAATGATACCTGGTGTTCCTTGGTTCCAGCAGGGATTTAATCTGCCGGTACTTTTACTGCATGATGGTCAAACTTGTTTTCGTGGAACTATAGCTCCCTATAGAGCCCCCCTCCGTGGTGCAGAAGGGATTAAAAGCCCCTTCTGTCATGTACCTTGTTCCAGTACTGATATCCCTTGGCGCTGGTTCAGGCTCCGCCTTCGCTCCTCCCCCACTGACATTATTCAGCAGGGGAGACCTATTTCACAAGTCTAACGATAGTCGTGCTCGCATTAGTATTTCCCCCATAGGAAATTATGTATAATGCTTTCCTGTGGGGGTTTGGGTGATGCTGGATATCCTCCATTGTGAGGCGACCAAAAGTCTGGTAGACAGACACTAGAGGTGGAGTTTACCCTTTATTGCAGTTTATTTAAAAACTGCAACAATTACCTTTGCAGGATTAAGACACCTGGGACTATGCACAATGAGCCGAAATGGTCTGGTTGCCTATCGTGTCCCTTTAAAACCTACAACACATGACTTGGAGGGTGGGATGCTTTTCCCAGTAAGCTAAGTGATGAGGTTTATGCTGCCACAATGCTGCCCTATATAGGCTTCTTGTACCGCTTGAAATGAACGCTAAACAATCATATTATGGTATTTTTCTGCCTCTAGTGCCCATAAATCCTGTACAAATCACCCTATAGCTGCCTCTACCTAATATACCTGTCCTACCATGACCTGGGCCACCCTGGCTGTGTCCTGCAATGGACAGGTACAGTGCTGGGTGTAATAGCAGTACTTTGTCAATCACTGTGTTATTTCCCATGTATAGTACTGTAAAGGGCTGCAGACGATAATAATACCAGCAGTGCACAGTGATTGCTTTATATAAATGATAATAATAATAATACTAGCAGTGCACAATGATTGATTTATATGAGTAATAATAATACAAGCAGTGCACAATGATTGCTTTATTTAAATGATAATAATTAATAATAATAATAATAATACCAGTGTAGCGGAGAGCTGATTTCCCACAGCTAAACTCCACCAATAAGTTAAGAGGATGCAGGAACAAGTAATAAATCCAAGAGAATATCCAGCACAATCAGCATTACAATCCAATAGTATCCTATCACCTTTCCCAATCACTGGACGGCACACAGTATCAGGAGTAGAACTCACTTTTAATGGCAACATTCCTGCTTTTATGAGATTCTCCCATGGAAGGGAGGGATTCACCACAATTAGGACAGTAACCAATCCCATAGACGTTCCCTCCCACACATCTCCTCCCCTTAGATTAGCACTTAACACAATTATACAAGGCATACTTTTCCCCACTTTTCAGATGTACCCCAAATATGTGGAATATACCCTTAAATATGGTACCCCCTGGTAGCCCTGATCTGGGTGAGAAACATATCCAAAAATCGCCCAGATCAGACCAGGGGTTTGGGAGTTATGGGAAGGTAAAGTTTTCGGTCTCTATTCGTGCCCCAAAAACCCCAAAATGCTATACCATCCATAGTGAATTCATAGTGAATGGCAATAGATGTGCAAATGATTGCTACTAAAAACTTGCAGAATAATTGTAATTGGTTAACTCAAGACAAGGTGCTGCAGCAACTAAAGAAAGTTGATATAAACAAAGCTCCAGGGCCTGACGGTATCCATCCACGTGTACTTAAGGAACTAAGTGCAGAAATAAGTGAACCTCTGTTTTTAATCTTTCAAGATTCTTTTCTTTCAGGAAGTGTTCCGGAGGATTGGAGGAAGGCAGATGTGGTTCCTATATTCAAAAAGGGTTCAAAATCCTTGCCTGGAAATTATAGACCTGTGAGCTTAACTTCTGTGGCTGGTAAAATATTTGAAAGGTTATTAAGGGATAATATTCAAGAATTCCTTGAGAAGAACATGGTTATCAGCAAAAATCAGCATGGTTTTATGAAGCACAGGTCATGTCAAACTAACTTGATTGCGTTCTACGAAGAAGTAAGTAGAAGTATAGATCAGGGTGTTGCCGTGGATGTGATCTATTTGGATTTTGCCAAGGCATTTGATACAGTTCCACACAATAGATTAGTGTTCAAACTCAAGGAAATCGGTCTAGATGAAAATGCTTGTTCTTGGGTAGAACATTGGCTTAAAAACAGAGTACAAAGAGTTGTCATTAATGGTAAATTTTCAAGCTGGACAGAGGTGGCAAGTGGTGTCCCTCAGGGGTCTGTTCTGGGACCCCTTCTATTTAACATGTTTATAAATGATCTTGAAGACCGCATTGAAAGTCATGTTTCAGTGTTTGCAGATGACACCAAACTTTGTAAAATACAATGTGAGCAAGATATTACTTTGCTGCAGAGGATTTAGATAGACTGGGGGACTGGGCACTCAAATGGCAGATGAAATTTAATGTTGAAAAATGCAAAGTTATGCACTTCGGCGTAAAGAAAAGAAAGCAACGTATACCCTTAATGGAAGCGAATTAGGGATAACAACACATGAAAAGGACTTGGGAATTGTTATAGACAACAAACTATGCAACAATGTGCAATGTCAATCAGCAGTGGCCAAGGCCAGTAAGGTATTGTCATGCATGAAAAAGGGCATTCATTCTCGGGACGAGAATATCATTTTGCCTCTTTATAAATCACTGGTAAGACCCCATATTGAATATGATGTGCAATTTTGGGCACCTGTTCTAAAGAAGGATATTATGGCACTAGAAAAAGTGCAGAGGCGGGCTACAAAATTAATAAAAGGAATGGAACATATTGGCTATGAAGAAAGGTTAACAAATTTAAACCTATTTAGTTTAGAAAAACGTCGCCTGAGAGGGGATATGATAACATTATACAAATATATTCGGGGCCAATACAAACCATTGTGTGGAAATCTATTCACAAAAAGGACTTTACATAGGACACGAGGCCATGCGTTTAGACTGGAAGAAAGAAGATTTCGTCTAAGGCAAAGGAAAGGTTTTTTTACTGTAAGAACAATCAGGATGTGGAATTCTCTGCCTGAAGAAGTGGTTTTATCAGAGTCCATACAGATGTTCAAACGGCTACTAGATGCATACTTGCAAGAACAGAATATTCAAGGATATAATCTTTCAATGTAGGGTAATAACTGCTTGATCCAAGGATAAATCTGACTGCCATTCTGGGTCAAGAAGGAATTTTTTTCCTAGCTTGTTGCAAAATTGTGCTTCAAACTGGGTTTTTTTGCCTTCTTTTGGATCAACAGCAAAAAACAAATGTGAGGAAGGCTGAACTTGATGGACGCAAGTCTCTTTTCAGCTATGTAACTATGTAACTATGTAACTAAGTAACCCGATGTATCCCCTAGTTCGTGGGATTCATCCTACCGGACGCCAGGCCGTTCGTGTGTTTCTATCAGTGTATTCTGAATCCCTGGAGGTCTTAGCGGTGTTCGGCTAGTCGAGTGTCCGTTTTGAGTTCCAGACACTCGACGACCAAACACCGCTGTTCGTGGGTTTAAGATGGCTGCCGCCATGTGTTTGGCTGCCGAAATGGCGGTCACCCAGGGATTATAGCGGCATGTTCGTGCGTACAAGGGAACATGAAAAGGCAATCAGGGAGGTAAATTATATCCATTCTTCAAATCAGGGTGGTCCGGTTCATTCGGTACTTTGTTCGTATGGTGAATTTAGTCGTTCCCATGTAAGCTGGCATTCTTATACCGAACAAAGTATGGCCACAATAGTTACAGGAAATTCTATGTACTCCAGGCACAGGAAAACCTCTGCAGTGCAAACAATAAACGAAATGAATGGGACAGCCAAAAAGGGGTTCTGCTACACCCAGCAGTGCACAATGATTGCTTTATATAAATAATAATAATAATACCAGCAGTGCACAATGATTGCTTTATATAAATAATAATAATAATAATAATAATAATGATGATGATAATACTAGCAGCAGTGCTCACACACAGTGTTATCTCACACTAGACATGTCTCAGTGTTTCACAGCACACACTCAGTCCTGTTTACATTGCTGCTAATAATACTATTATTTAAGTAACACTGGGCTCTGGGAATGTGGGGCTCTGGGAAGGAAGTGATATATTGAGGATTATCCTCTGTACAGACACCCTCTGTCTATCCTGACTGTGGGAATAACACAGCTTGCCCAAATCAATCATGGCCGCCGGCCTGTATAGCCCGTACTCCCTCTCTATGGTCTCACACCTGGACTGAGACTGTATAGCCCATTCTCCGTCTCTATGGTAAGGGATCCTTGCCTGGATATCTGCGCATGCGCAGTCCCCGGGCTGTCTCCCAGATGTAGAGGCCGATAGAACACCTGCTGGTCACACGGAGAGAGATACCCCCCCCCAACCCCCCCCCGTCCCCAGAGCGCTGGGAGGACCCCCAGGTAGAGTGTCAGTGTGCTTCAGTGCTGGAGAGTGTGCCCCCTGGCTGTCAGTGTGCTCGGTGCTGGAGAGTGTGCATCCTGGCTGTCAGTGTACTCGGTGCTGGGGAGTGTGCACTCAGGCTGTCAGTGTGCTCAGTGCTGGAGAGTGTGCCCCCTGGCTGTCAGTGTACTCGGTGCTGGAGAGTGTGCATCCTGGCTGTCAGTGTACTCGGTGCTGGGGAGTGTGCACTCAGGCTGTCAGTGTGCTCAGTGCTGGAGAGTGTGCCCCCTGGCTGTCAGTGTGCTCGGTGCTGGAGAGTGTGCCCCCTGGCTGTCAGTGTGCTCGGTGCTGGAGAGTGTGCATCCTGGCTGTCACTGTACTCGGTGCTGGAGAGTGTGCATCCTGGCTGTCAGTGTGCTCGGTGCTGGAGAGTGTGCATCCTGGCTGTCACTGTACTCGGTGCTGGAGAGTGTGCATCCTGGCTGTCACTGTACTCGGTGCTGGAGAGTGTGCATCCTGGCTGTCAGTGTACTCGGTGCTGGAGAGTGTGCATCCTGGCTGTCAGTGTACTCGGTGCTGGAGAGTGTGCATCCTGGCTGTCAGTGTACTCGGTGCTGGAGAGTGTGCATCCTGGCTGTCAGTGTACTCGGTGCTGGAGAGTGTGCCCCTGGCTGTCAGTGTACTCGGTGCTGGAGAGTGTGCATCCTGGCTGTCAGTGTACTCGGTGCTGGAGAGTGTGCATCCTGGCTGTCAGTGTACTCGGTGCTGGAGAGTGTGCATCCTGGCTGTCAGTGTACTCGGTGCTGGAGAGTGTGCATCCTGGCTGTCAGTGTACTCGGTGCTGGAGAGTGTGCATCCTGGCTGTCAGTGTACTCGGTGCTGGAGAGTGTGCATCCTGGCTGTCAGTGTACTCGGTGCTGGAGAGTGTGCATCCTGGCTGTCAGTGTACTCGGTGCTGGAGAGTGTGCATCCTGGCTGTCAGTGTACTCGGTGCTGGAGAGTGTGCCTCCTGGCTGTCAGTGTACTCGGTGCTGGAGAGTGTGCATCCTGGCTGTCAGTGTACTCGGTGCTGGAGAGTGTGCATCCTGGCTGTCAGTGTACTCGGTGCTGGAGAGTGTGCATCCTGGCTGTCAGTGTACTCGGTGCTGGAGAGTGTGCATCCTGGCTGTCAGTGTACTCGGTGCTGGAGAGTGTGCATCCTGGCTGTCAGTGTACTCGGTGCTGGAGAGTGTGCATCCTGGCTGTCAGTGTACTCGGTGCTGGAGAGTGTGCCCCCTGGCTGTCAGTGTACTCGGTGCTGGAGAGTGTGCATCCTGGCTGTCAGTGTACTCGGTGCTGGAGAGTGTGCCCCCTGGCTGTCAGTGTGCTCGGTGCTGGAGAGTGTGCATCTTGGCTGTCAGTGTACTCGGTGCTGGAGAGTGTGCATCCTGGCTGTCAGTGTACTCGGTGCTGGAGAGTGTGCATCCTGGCTGTCAGTGTACTCGGTGCTGGAGAGTGTGCCCCCTGGCTGTCAGTGTACTCTGTGCTGGAGAGTGTGCATCCTGGCTGTCAGTGTACTCGGTGCTGGAGAGTGTGCATCCTGGCTGTCAGTGTGCTCGGTGCTGGAGAGTGTGCATCCTGGCTGTCAGTGTACTCGGTGCTGGAGAGTGTGCCCCCTGGCTGTCAGTGTGCTAGAGTGTGCATCCTGGCTGTCAGTGTACTCGGTGCTGGAGAGTGTGCCCCCTGGCTGTCAGTCTACTCTGTGCTGGAGAGTGTGCATCCTGGCTGTCACTGTACTCGGTGCTGGAGAGTGTGCATCCTGGCTGTCAGTGTACTCGGTGCTGGAGAGTGTGCATCCTGGCTGTACTCGGTGCTGGAGAGTGTGCCCCCTGGCTGTCAGTGTACTCGGTGCTGGAGAGTGTGCATCCTGGCTGTCAGTGTACTCGGTGCTGGAGAGTGTGCATCCTGGCTGTCAGTGTACTCGGTGCTGGAGAGTGTGCATCCTGGCTGTCAGTGTACTCGGTGCTGGAGAGTGTGCATCCTGGCTGTCAGTGTACTCGGTGCTGGAGAGTGTGCATCCTGGCTGTCAGTGTACTCGGTGCTGGAGAGTGTGCATCCTGGCTGTCAGTGTACTCGGTGCTGGAGAGTGTGCATCCTGGCTGTCAGTGTACTCGGTGCTGGAGAGTGTGCATCCTGGCTGTCAGTGTACTCGGTGCTGGAGAGTGTGCATCCTGGCTGTCAGTGTACTCGGTGCTGGAGAGTGTGCATCCTGGCTGTCAGTGTACTCGGTGCTGGAGAGTGTGCATCCTGGCTGTCAGTGTACTCGGTGCTGGAGAGTGTGCATCCTGGCTGTCAGTGTACTCGGTGCTGGAGAGTGTGCATCCTGGCTGTCAGTGTACTCGGTGCTGGAGAGTGTGCATCCTGGCTGTCACTGTACTCGGTGCTGGAGAGTGTGCATCCTGGCTGTCAGTGTACTCGGTGCTGGAGAGTGTGCATCCTGGCTGTCAGTGTACTCGGTGCTGGAGAGTGTGCATTCTGGCTGTCAGTGTACTCGGTGCTGGAGAGTGTGCATTCTGGCTGTCAGTGTACTCGGTGCTGGAGAGTGTGCACCCTGGCTGTCGGTGTACTCCGTGCTGAGTGATGATATACAACATCTCCTGGGATATGGTTTGCTTTGTAGAAGGGATGCTGATAGAAAATAAATTCTTCATAGCTGCTCTCCGTTTATGGAGTTGTTTTAATCATCCTTGTGATTGTAACTGGTCTTTGGCAACATACAATGTATCCCATAGTCGCCTGTAGGGCAGAGGAATATGAGATCAGTAACCATAGACCTCAAGGTATGTTTATGATTAGTGTATCTCATTTTTTTAAACCGACAACAAGGGACATCATAAAAGGTATCTTCTTTAAACTTTTTCTAATATTTTTGAATGTATTTATATAATGCATTGAAAAATGTTGCATTCGTTTTTTTTCTTATGCGATCTTGTTTTGGTTGGCTACTAAATGTAAAGTAAATGTTTTCTCGTTAATTGCAAAGTTTCCGTTCGAAGAGAGTTTTTCATCAGTTATTCCACGTGCATCTAACTACTCCGTAGTTATAATGAATACGGACAGGAAACTGATGACTGAGAAGATCCTGAGTCTAACCCTGGATATCCTCTACCTGCTGACTGGAAAGGTGAGAGATTTTGGTTAACATAACAAAAAAATACACCCAGAAAAAATCAACCTTTTCCTGCAAAGAATTCCATACCTTTATTATTCTTAGTGGGGTGATAATTCAGTACTTAGGGTGAAATCTCCTTGAAGGAACACCATATGACCCAGACCATTAAAGTGGTCTGAGTTTACTGTCCCTGTCAATTTAATTGAAGATGCAATAATTTTATTACATGACAGGAGGCTTCCTATTTTGCATGACTTTTTTTACTCATGCCTCCAGCAGCACAAGTCAATCAATAAACTTTTAACCAATCATAAAAGAGTACATAAACATATATAAGGCTCTGATTGTCACATGACTTCCTCTTTCTTTGCTGCTTCCAGCCAAGGCACAGGTCAGAGTATTCTGCTCTCACTATTTGTCTATTATATGTACAATTCTTACTGTCTCTTTAATTGATGCTGGCTTACTCTCTACTGTATGTTTCCCCTTTTACATGCACTTAGTTTATGCCTGCTCCCTCAGCCTGTTAGTGTTTCTTGTGTGGGGTTTCCCTGTCTCTGGGGCTGCACTGTACTTTGCCTCTGGTCTGTGTTGGTCCCTCGCGATTCGCGGCATTTTACCGCGATCGCGCGAGACCGGGGGGTCTGACCAGGGGCTGGGGGGGTAACTGGGGGACACAGGGGGATGCCGGCCAGGTTTGTAGGATCGCGGTCGCGGGCCGCGATCGCGAACCGCGCGGCAAATTTGCGCGGGAACGGCGGCCATCTTGGATCTCGCGATCTCGCGAGATCCTCGGCAGCCATCTTAGCTTGCCAGTTCGTGATTCCCACGAACTGGCATAAAGTCTGTACTTAATGTGTAATTGTCTATAATGTGTATGGTTATACTGCCCCTTATACTGGCTAACACTGAAGTGTTAGTTAACCCCTTACTCCCTGGATACAGGAGTTAATGCAGGCACATAAATGGAATAAAGCTTAAAGGAATACTTACCTGCTTGCACCCATGGACTGCTCAGGCTGCTATTCTTAATGCCTGGATCTCACTGAGGACACGGGTGGCTGACTCAGGGCATACACTGAAGAACAGGATACATATAATTCTGAAGACTCTTGGTCGCATAACTGATGCTGGATGTCCTCACGCTATGCTTTCCTATGGCGTTGTCCTAATGCATGTGTCACGGGTGTCACGTGTCCTACATGAGCACTTCTGGGTTGGATCGGATAGGGAGTCATCACAAGGATTGGGAAAGTCACTTTAATTTTTTGTCTATATAATAATTTCTCATACACTACACAATTGATCTTGAGAAAGACCCTCAGGGGTTGGAACGTTGATCGTTTTCTTTGTATTTTTCGTGAAGTAAATTAAACTTGTCACACCGATTGAAAATCATCTAAGTGCACCACATCATTTTGGAATATGGTTTAACTGAATCTCGGGCATTGTTATTGTTGTGTCATCAGTCAGCCTGAAACTAGAATCTGCCTAATGTCAATTCTGTGCAAATTTCCATGCAAAGAATGTCAGTCATTGGCTGAGAGCGGTCATCTGATACTCTGAACCAATTAATGACATTAGCATTGGCATCTGACTTCAGCAGCTTTGCAGAATCCGAATTATGTTACCAAAGCAGCAGGCAGTTTCAGAACCCGGCAGGGACCCAGGTAAGAGGGCAAACCAATGTAAAACGTATTGCCTGACTTACCAGGGTACTCATCATATCATAACTATTACAGAAGGCTGTTGTGGTTATGATGCTTGGATTACCCCTTAATTGGCCTTGGAAAGCCTAGTTAGTGTTTGCCTGCTGCAGTCAGCTCTGTGATATATACTTTAAGTGTGTATGCAACACTTTTGTCTGCTTTAAATTTCTTTGTCAATGTGTAGGATTATATCATTGTGAAGAAGCCTGGTAATGATGTCACAAACTGCAATGGTCCTTTTGTGTCAGGAGGATCCTATAGGACCCAAAGCGCCAGCATGGTGCCTCCATCTCACTTACTGATACACGAGAGAAACAATGACCAGAAGATCCTGGAACTGACCAATCAGATCATCCACCTGCTGACTGGAGAGGTGAGGCTGCTGGGAATGGGGCATTATGGAGTAAAACCAAGGGATGTGTTTGGATGGTGACTGTATCATTGTGTGTGCCAGGTTCCAATTAGATGTGAGGATGTCACTGTCCATCTCTCCATGAAGGAGTGGGAGTATTTGGAAGACCACCAGGATTTTCACCAGGCTATGACAATGAAGAACCGCCAACCCACCCTCTCATTAGGTAAAAGAATGATGCACAACATGCTAAAACATAGAAACACTATAAACATAACACATGTTGCTATATTTACCAATTGGCCCATATTTGGAATAGTGCATCTTTACCCAAGTTGAAGGCAGTCCATATTCTTCAGCTGCACAAAATTACAATGGCTCCACCACACAGCATTTTTGAGTTATCCTTCCTATCTGTCACGTATTCATCCGCTTATAAAAATGTGGTTAATGGCATTTACTGTCCACACATGAAAAGTTGTGCCGAGCAGCAACCAAATCTACAGAAGGGTTAATGCTGAGCAGAAATTATGCATATTGAAACCTGGTAACTGACTTTGGGGTCAAAGGCCGGTTACAGCCTATCAGATCTAGAGGAGGGGTATTTAGGCCCAGTTCTCATCCTGCTCAGTGCCCGTCATGGTTTCCCTTGTGGTTGTCCGAGAGCGCGTTATTGATTTTGGTTATTCTGGTTATTTGACTTTGGCATTGTTTTTGACTTCCCTGTTTTCTGGCATCCCTGACTCCTGGCTTTTCCTTATCGTTGTGTCTCTTTCTTTATCCCTTGACCTCGGCTATTCCTGACTGTTCTTGGGTACGTTAGTCCAGCCATTCTAAGGTCCGGTGTACGTTACCTATCAGTCCTCTGTGTTACACAATTCTATGTGCTGGATCATTCTGTAATCCTGACACTATCTTCCTCCAGCACCCTAATAAATATGTCCATGATTGGGGAAGCTTCTGCATGCAGGACACCCCTCCATTATGACACTGACCTGCTGGCTTTGTTGCTGAAGCAGGATTCTTCAGCTGTTTTCTGAAGGGCCGGACTGGGAAAAAAATAGTGTGTGTGTGTCAGTCAGTCAGTCAGGGCCGGTGCAAGGATTTCTGCCGCCCTAGGCAAAGATCCATTTTGCTGCCCCCTCATGTTACACACTCACTGACAGGGGCACACACACACACACTCACTCACTGACCTACATACTCACTGACAGGCACACACACACACTTACTGACATACATACACTCAGTGATGTATCCTGGTTTTTTGCTGCCCTAGTCAGGACAAAACTCAGATGCCCACCTCCCCCGCCCCACCTTCTAAATATACACACACACACTCACAGGCAAACTCAGACACACACACACAATCACTCACATTAACACTTTAAAAAAAGAAAAATTTATTTAACCACCCCTCAGCCTCTTTACCTTTTGGGAATGCTGGGGGGGTTCTCTTTCTCCCTGGGGCTCCAGTGGCTGCCGGTCGGGCTGATGGGCTGGCTGCTGGGTGCTGGCGGGCGGCTGGCGAGGGAGCACTTCCCATGAGCACTCTGTTCAGCTCCCTCGCGCACCACTGAGTCATGCAGGAAGCCGGAATATGACGTCATATTCCGGCTCCCAGCCTCTCACTGCGGTGTGCGAGAGAGCGGAGCAGACCACTCAGAGGAAGAGCTTCCTCGCCAGCCGCCCACCAGTGCCGCCCACCCAGCATGTCAGTTAGCTGCAAGGCTAACAATGCATTTGCCCTGGGCATTTGGGGGCGGCGTTTTTTGCCGCCCCCTGGAAAATGCTGCCCAAGGCAAATGCCTTGTTTGCCTCACGGCTAATACTTCCCTGCATAAACATACTCCCTGACAGACATACTCCCTGACAGACATACTCCCTGACAGACATACTCCCTGACAGACATACACTCCCTGACAGACATACACTCCCTGACAGACATACACTCCCTGACAGACATACACTCCCTGACAGACAAACACTCCCTGACAGACAAACACTCCCTGACAGACAAACACTCCCTGACAGACAAACACTCCCTGACAGACAAACACTCACTGACTGACAGTCCAACACTCTCCTCCCTGAGGCAGCTCCTCATTCCTCCCGCCCGCTGTTTAGTATGCCTGGGCCGGAATGATGTCATACTCCGGCTCCCGACATCACAGAGGGCGCGCGAGTGAGGAGTGAAGGGCTGTAAGAAGAGCCTCCCTCACCGACTTGCTTCTCCTACCCCCTCTCCTCAGAACAGATCACTGGCATTTTTTGGCAGAGCATATACCTGCCATCAAGATAAGCAGGTGCCTGCTCTACCTTACCGAATACAGCTTTGGGGGTGCCCTGAGGTGGCAAGATGGCCACCTCCTGGGCCCCCTGTGACAGGGCTCCTCTCGGCGTCCCCACCTTCGGACGCCTTGAGGATCAGCCCGGCGCAGGGGGTGGCTCGAGCTGCTTGCCCAGCCCTGCAGCCCTAGACAGGGGGAGCCCACCAGGAAACATCCCAGTAGGCGTCCCCAGCAGGCCGGCGCCCTAGGCGAATGCCTAGTTTGCCTAACGCTGGCCCTAGGTGCAGTGTGTGTTTGTGTGTATAGGAATCTAGTGTGTGTTTGAAGAACCCATAGTGTGAATAGGAAATCTAGTGTGTGTGTGTGTGTGTGTGTGTGTGTGTAGAGGATTCAGACTGTATATAGGGATCTAGTGGGGTGCAGTGTGTATGTGACGGGTGCTGTGTGTGAATATGTTTGGAGAGATTGTGTGTGGGGGGAGACAGATTAATGTAAATATATTAAATATGTATTTTTTTATTATTATTATTTTTTTTTTTAAATAAAATTAAAAAAATTTATCCCTCTCTTTTTCTACCTTTTTCCTCAGAGGAGAGGTCGTGCTGCAATCCCTGGTGTACCTAGTGGTGAGTGAACTATAGCCTGTGGGGCTCAAGTTCACTCTCGCGAGATCCAGAGCGTTGCAACACTTTGACCTTGCGAGATGAACACCGCGGAGCTGCAGGTCAGAGCTCCCCGGGTCCTCTACTGTCGCCCTCCCACACCGGCTGCCCAGTAAACTGCCTGGTTCAGTCATTCAGTATATCACAAACCAACTCCTGTGCACTCTGAGTCAGGGTAGTGAGTAGACTTTATTGAAGCAATGTTTGTAAATTAAAAGGAAAAAAATAATCTTTTGAGATGCAGAAGAATTCATTTCAGTACGTGTGTTTGCGTAGTAAGATCATTAAAAGGTGGCTTTATTCTGAAACTGGTCTTGGTTTGTTTGTTTGTTTTTATCTCCACTTGAAGAAGCCCTAGAGGCGAAACGCGTTGTGGTTACTATTTATGCTGTTTTAACCCCTTAAAGACCGCTTCAGAAGCTGGACATACCCTTAAGGACACAAGCAATGTTTGCATTTTTTTGCTGTTTGTGTTAAACTGCAATTTGCATCTCTCTCATTTATTGTACCAACGCATATTATATACTGGTTTTTTTTTTTTAATGACAAAAAGGGCTTTAATTTGATGTGACCTATACATATATAAATTCTCATTCATTACAACTAAAATGCTAATAATATATGTTTATATAAAGTAGTCCTCACAGGCTATTTACTTAAGGTTATTTTGACACTTTTTACGTAGCCATTTCACCACCAACTCTGCTAAATATTGGAGTAAAATTTAGTTTTTTTGCCTCTATTTTGGCAAATACACATATAACAAGGTTTTTGTAATGTGTATTTCGTAAACCTAGTGTGTGCTATCCCTGTACAGAATAAAATACAGAAAACCACATATTGTGTTCAGCTACATCTGCTGAGTACAACGATACCCCATTGTATACCTTTGCCACTATTCTGTGAAGCTACAATGCCATATAGGAGACCATTCTATTTCCGTTTCTATATTTGGAATTTTCAGAGATGGTCATATGTCTGATTTTGTGGCATTATAGCCATTTCACTGTTCAAAATAACCCCAGGAAGGCCTTCCATTTGAGAAAGCAGACAGGGTATCTTATAAACCATATATTATACCTTAACTTGCCACCATTTCTTCACCAATTTATTTTAAATTTTGTGGTGAGAATTAAAAAAAAAAAAAAAAATATTTATTTTTTTAAAATTTTTTTTTACATGTTGCATTTTAGCTGGGTATTTCGTGCATTTGATAAGTGCCACTTTAATAAATTCCCCCTAAGTATGCTCACTTACCTCTTCTGAGTAAAAATATAAGCCCAATGTATGACCTAGACACTAATTTGTGAAGTTACAGTGCTGTAAAAGAGACGTGACAAGTTCAGGTTTTTAAGTGTATATTTTCATGGAGAGTTTTAATGGGTCCGTATTCTATTTTGAAATATGTTAGCAGGCTACGTTTTCCAACTAGCCCAAAAAGGCATACTATTTCTTAAAGAAGACACCTTATTGAACCTTAGCGTGGGATCATTTTTCTGCTAGCTTGTATCAAGTGTAGTGGTAATAAGCATTTTTTTGACTAACACATTGAGTTTGTACTGTATATTTTGCAAACCTTATGTGTGCTACGGCTTTATAATACTTCATATGTTGCTCAGCTATGTTGTCTGAGTACAGCCATTCCCCCGTATGTACTTTTGCCAGGTATATGTGGACATTGAAGGGGCACATTTCAGACACAGCCATTGCAGTTTTTTTCAAACTTTGAATTTTTACGTGTTATCATTACCCCACTTTGGAGTTGTTGTTTTTTTAGTAGGATAATTATTCCAACTACCCAATAAAGGCATACCATTTCTTAAAGAAAGACGCCCTAGGGTATTTCAAAAGTCATATTTTGAACCTTAGCGTGGGATAATTTTTCTGCTAGCTTGTACCAAGTGTAGTGGTAATAAGCATTATTATATGCCTTTTGACATTTGCAATGAGTCTGTAATATATATTTTGCAAACCTTTTGTGTGCTACAGCAGTATAATACTTCATATGTAGCTCAACTATGTCATCTGAGTATAGCATTACCCCTGTATGTACCTTTACCAGGTATATGACAATGTTAAAGGGGCACGTTTGAGACACAGCCATTTAAGTTTGAATTTTTATGCTGGGTCCATTTTTTTTCAGTAGGTTGTGTTTCCAATTACTTCACAAAGGCATACCATTTCCTAAATAAGACACCCCAGGGTGTTTCAAAAGGCATATTTGAAACCTTAGCATGGTATAATTTTTTCGTTAATCTGTACCAAGTGTAGGGGTAATACGCATTTTTCCCTTCAGTGGCTAAAAGAGAAAAATACTGTTATCTGTATTTTGATCACTGCAGACAATGATCAAAGAGCAGGGAAGGGGTTAAATTTTATTTGAAAGGGGTGACGGGGGATGAATTTTATAATGAAAAGGTGTTTTTGTTTTGTTTTTGCAGCGAGAGACAGATCAGCACCGATCTGTCTCTCTGCACTTCACAGCTCACACGGAGCTGCAGGGAGACAGATCGGGTTTCACTGCAGCACATGTGAAAGCTCTGACTCCCGGTCAGAGCGATCACATGGGCTGAATCAGTGAAACTGCTTGCTGTAGTGTGCCTCTAACACGGAGACACACTACAGGAACATTAACCCCACGATTTCCATGATTGTAGCAATCTGCGGTTAATTTTAGTAGTGGGCAGAATTTTCCGTCCTGCGTCCTTATGGGGAGTACTGTGGTGACAGAACATTTCCATCCAGCATCCTTAAGGGGTTAACTTGAGTTTTTTTATTTTATTTATTATTGTATGAATAAAGATATTTTGGCTTATTTTACACTTTACTAGAGTGTGCCATTTTACACTCCCTCCCACTCCCCCTCCCATCCCCTCTACATTTTTATTATCACTACTATTTTTTTATTTTACCTCGTACTGCCTGGCACCTGCTTTTTATCTCCAGTGAGTACTACTCCAAAGTCATCCCTGGTGGGGATTATACCACCCACATCTGATCCATAGAGCAGTTCGCCTGCTTTGGCAAATTTGAGTACGTTTCCATTTATCCTTACTCCTGGCATTTTATTCAGTGAGCACTAATGTTGTTTCTTTTTATTTTTATGGTCCACCTACTACAATGACTTCATTCTCACGTATCCTTGCAAGTGGGGATTGTACCACTGTATGCCATTCATACTGGAGCTAGTTATAACTCCATAAAACGTGAGTAGGAATATATCGTTTTCCTTTTATTTTCCCCTGTGAGAACATACTACCCTATTATTCCTTTCTGTTGTTTCATACGGACTCCACTAGATGCTTAGATCTCTACTCTTGGGGTTAGTGGCCAGCCTCTTTTTCACTCCCTCTAGTTAGATATCTACAATGCGGATCCATCCCTCCCATTATGGTCTTGGTTTGCACCTACAGTATGCAGTCTATTTCCATCTGACATGAACGCACCCTACTTCAAGAGTGGGCATGATGTAGTTGTGGTGGTGAAAGGGTTAAAGTTCACGATTTGTCTGCACTAAACTGGAAATAATGATAAATTCCCGCTTAACACCACCCACACTTAACCATAATAATATAAATATTACTATGATAGCGCTGCCACCACCAAGACAATTTATAAATGGGGTGCCTTGGTCCCGCCCCCCCATAACTTAATAATAAAAACTCTCCAAATACAACTTAGCACACTATCTAAGCAATTGCAAAACACTAAGTAGTCTCTTCAGGTAACGTGATTTTTTACCAAAGACAGAACTTAAAAAAGGAATATTTATTATAAGCAAAAAATAGTCACAGTGCATACAAAAATATAGATGACAATCAAATTTGTTACACCTACAACAGATAAAAAGCAAAAGGAATAAAATAACAGAAGTCTTAGTCACTTACTCAGGTTTTCAAAGTAAAACTTCTGCTCCAGGGGGTCTCTGATAAGAAAGGTGGTGACTCACTTAGAATTAGATTCTGGCCCCCAAGCCAAGTCCAATACACATTTCAGTATCATTGGATGTATACCCTGTGAATTACCAAGCCTGGCCTAGAGCTAATAAGTGACCACTCCCTTGTTTTCCAGACACACATCCATCCATATATAAAGTTTTTCTTCTATCTCCCCTTTTTTTACTTGCCACAGAAATAATTGCATCTATGAATTTGTTACCATTTCTCCATTTCATAGATATGTCACACATCTTACTTGTGACCCAATATAGTGGACATCCCAATCCCTTCCCATATGGTTAAGTTATGCCAACCATGTTTGGGCTTGTTTAGAAGATGGTGCTTGTCCCATTCTAAATTAAAAAGGAGGCTTTATTATTATTATTATTATGAATGTACATATTAATGTTTCTTTTGGATATGATACTTGAACACAAGGCTAATGATCATTAACATATCAAAGACAGTAACTCATCAATTAAGAGGTAGAGGCCATGTGGCTGAAGGCAGTTAGTTTACATTGGAACTAGACTTCCAGGCCACTTATGTGTGACTTATCACACCTTACAGAGCCTTTGATTAATCAAAGGCTCAATCAGTGTTGTAAACCTTCTGCCCCCTTTCACATTCCTATACCATTTACATTACCCCTTCTGTTATCTGACCTTGCAACCAAGTGGCCAATTCATATATGCAGTATACAAATTACATTAAATGGCAATATTCTATTGTGCAACAATGAATTATGCACCCTTGGCGGACACTATCTTTCTTATTTTTAAATAATGTGTACAGGTATGTTGACTTGAAGCTGCTGAGGCTCTATTCTAAATGACCTGAATAAAGGGTTCAACCATAATTTCAGGAGTGTCTTGATGCAGAACACAAATTTGGAAGTAGTAAACGTGGGTGACCATTTAAAGTGAAAGGAGGTTTGTCCCTTAAGGAGGGGAGAAATCGATCCAGTATTTTACTGGATATCAATAATAATTGGTGGGACATAATGGAATTTTGGTGGTTTGTCTTTGTGTGTTGATGTGAGCTGAAATAGCGGTTCTCAATTTGCTGTAAATCTTGTATCTTGTATCTTGAGACATTTATCTGTATTTGAAATTTTGGCGACCGTGAATTCCCGGGGTGGAAGAAACCGTACAAAGCTAGATAGATGGCTGATTTCTAAAAAATAAACTTATCAACAGTTGTTAATGTCTTGGTAGCTAATGCTGCACAAGCTAACGTCCTGATGTGAGACATGAGTATGTCTAATCCTGAACCAGATCATGGAAGGCTGGTGTCTCTGAAGCTTGTCATGATGCCGTAGGGTGTTTTATGGAAAAGGTCTGAAATTTTAAAACTTGAGGGTGTCAGCAGCTTCATTGTGAAGCCCCAGGATGTGAGTGCAGACAAGGTAAAACTGGTGTGTAACGGCTAACCGCTAACAAACCTTATGATAGTCGGGCACTGGGAACGGCCTTTGTTAATGATGTTACATGCTGCTAAGTGGCAAAATAATATTTGCTGTTCCACTTCATACTGTGCAGGTGCAACCGTGAAGGAAGTATTGTGAGTAACTTAAACGCTTTACTAATGTCAAGCTCCTGGCCCTGCATTTATAATAGCTTGACTGGCATTGCCTGCTGTAAGGTATTGAAAGAAAAATTGGAAATATAAGGAAAAATGACAATTGAATGATCAGACTTTTTTATTATTTGATTTGCCAGTAGCTATACCAACCAGATTAATACGCCAGCAAGCGTAAGGGGAGGACCTAAATTATGGACAAATTCTTTAGCAATTCAGTGTGTCTACCAGTGCACAGTCCTTGACATCAGACTGTAGGTTTATACATTCAAGGATGCTGGTAGGTAATGAGATAAACCCGGTGTGAAAACCTTGTGAAAATCCCGAGACCAGAAATGCTGTTAACTGAGGTGCTGGTTGATAAACTAGGAGCTGCTTAAGCCTGTCTATATTTACTAGAAACTTTAAAATTTAAGGTGCGCTGTGTCTTTAAGACCAAATTGAAAAAAGTGCCACAAGTGCAAGCACTGCTTGCACTTGTGGCACTTTTTTCAATTTGGTCTTAAAGACACAGCCCACCTTAAATTTTAAGGTTTCTAGTAATTATATACAGGCTGAAGCAGCTCCTAGTTTATTGCTTGCACTTGTGGCACTTTTTTCAATTTGGTCTTAAAGACACAGCACACTTTAAAGTTTATGTATATGAGTGTTTGGGGGAATTTTACACTTGTTTTTGGTGCAGCTTCATGTTATAATAATTTTTTGGATAGTTATATTTATAGACAATTTTTACTAGCGCCTACTTTTTACTTGCCTTTGTGTGTATATTTACTAGAGTTGGTCATTGATTGGGCTGTAGCCAGTTTGGCACATAATTCTCATATGTGCTCCAAAACAGAGGGCACACATGCAAGGATCTGCAGGCAATAAAGCCACGACTACCAGAGTTAAAGTAATTACAGATTTAGGTTCTGCCTAGAAAAACAATAGGCTGGCCTTGCTTGTCGCTTAGCTTAAGAGGCAGGAGGTAGCAGACTAGTAGTAGCCTTATTGGTACACAAGTTACTGGAGTGGGTGGTGGATGCGCAGACTGCTCATGTGGGAGTTTTTAACCTAGCAAAGCACCTGCAAAATAGTTGAGTATCCAACAGAGTCCAGTCAGTTCTAAAATTGAACTGTGCTAGTACTGCAGCAGATTTAGCGTAAAATTATTTGTGTTAGTAGTAAAAAGAAACCCTCCATGCTTGTAGCCTAGATCTACCAACTTGTGCATGTATAGATCTAGTTCTCCTCGACGTTGGGGAAAACTGGAAGCCGTAACATTTCTGAACAGACCAAAAGCCAGAACAAATTGTGGTATAGACAACTTTTTATTCAATCTGGGGTCTCTGGCTTTGAGAATGACCGATAAATCCTCATTGTGACGCTGTGAGGGAGACACCAAGTTGACATCTTTCCCCTCTAATTTAAGTGATAGGGGTAACCATGGTTGCCGTGTTAGAAAAAGTAATAGCGAAACTATTACCCTGAGAAAGACGTGTAGGAGGGAGACTAGGAGGAACAACAGAGGAGATAGAATCAGCCAATTTGGCTAACTGCCCAAGTCTATTATTTTTAGAGTTGATTGAAGTCGAAATGAATGAACGCATACCATGCATCTATGTCATACTGCTGGCACTGTTCCCTCGCCAGCTTGTACTAGGTCTTAGTTCATCTGATTGTGATTGCATTAGGCGATAATGGCCATAGCTGACAATGGCATGTTCCGCCTTCTTTGTTCAGCAGTGATTTTAGAGTCTGTCCAGGACCTCATAGAGCTTAGACTTGCAGACTTTTCTTTGATAGGTATACCAGGTCTGGCTTCGGTGCTAGGGAAGGAGAAAGCATTGCCTTGGTCTGAAGCAGACCTACTATGGGAGAAGTAAATAGACTTATTCTAATCAGGACCTCCACACCCCCACTCTGGTAAATAGTGTGAACTAACTGACTGGCTAACGAATGCCAAGAGACAAAAAAATGAACTTGTCTGGTGAAGCCCTGCTAGATTCCAAGTGGCTTATAGAAGCAGTATCTTTGATTTAGGCCATGAGGTGGTGGGCCACTGAATGATATGGTGGGGTGATTGGCCATGGCAGATGAGGTCATTAAGGCAGTGAAGTATTTCCTAAACAAGATAAGGTACCCCCCAATCATGTAGAGGGATAAGGTACCCCTCCCCCCCCACCCCCCTCTACTGTAGGTATACTAAAGAATAGGGCCCTTGGAAACTATTGCAAACCAAGATTCGATCACAGGCAGCCAGGAGTGGGCTTGGCATTTTAAAGCTGGATAGCTCCACCCACAACTCCAGGCTGCCATCTTTATGTTTAAATGCACGTAGGTACATCACTCTTCCAGTCTTTTGTCCTTGCCTGTGTGCAAATCACTTAAGCCAAAATATAAATATCAAGGAAGGTGCACTCAAAGAACTTCATGGGTAATTGTGGTCGCTTTATTGTGCAGTCATACACCAGAAAATATGACATTTCAGTCCTCTGTAGGACTTTTCTCAAGACATAACGTAGGCCTCGATTTTAAAAAGATTTCCAAATGTTAGAAAAGTTTCCAAATTATTTATATACAGAAGTCACCGTTTAATTAGATGGACATTTTTGTAGATAAATAATTTGCAATTATTTCTTACAGTACTGAGTCATTTGGAAAGCTTATTAAATCATGGCAATATTATTTTTTTTTCAATTCTGCTGTAAAATGTGGAATTTGCACTGTATTCAAGCTAATTCATATATTAGTGGAAAGCCTTATGAAACTGCAGTATAGACTTATTAAGATACATTATATGACTATTTTTCATTGCCTGTTTTGTTACATAACCTGTTTAGTATCATCTGTTTATATGTAGCTCTTTGTAACACTGATCCTTTGGAAAATTATTTCCGACAGATGAATCAATTTCCAGACGTACATTTCCAGTGTCACCTGATGCTTTAAATGAAGATAAACATAGCACTAAAAATTATCCAGGATGTCTCACCATCACTGACCGTTGTACAACCAAAAAATGTACACCGTCCGTATATACTGACCATAATAAAGAGGACTCTGCCTCATGTCAAGAAGAAATTCTCCCAAATGCTTACACAGCCAGAGAATGTAAGCAGACGGAATATTCTTCTACTCACATTAAGGAGGAATTGACCTCACGTAAAGACCGTAAACTCACTGACAATTTTCAAGCCTCAAAATATTCATCTGCCAATTCCAAGGAAGAATCTGTATTAATTGTAGAAAATAATCTGACAGATATCGACAGGCATGTACCCAAACTAACAGAATATACATCTGATCTTTTTAATGAATCTGCTTTGTGTGAAGAAAAAAATCTATTGTATACACCCACGGAACGTATGAATACAGAGCATCTGTCTGTTTGTATTAAGGAAGAATCAACACCATTGAAAGACAGGCCATTCACAGACCCTGACATTCACTTACTCATGAAACCCACACAGACGGACTATCCATCTACTCATATTAAAGAGGAATCAGACTCTTGGGAAGAAGTGATTGTTACAGACAATGACCTTTATGAACCCACAGACCATGCAGATACAGAGGACGCTATGTATAACAAGGAAGGTGTGGAAAATAATGACAACACGTCAACACCAGTTATGAGCTTTAGAGTAATGAAATTCAGTGAATGTGGAGAAATTGTTAATAATCAGTTTCATACCCATACTGTAGAGGGGATGTATAACTGCTCAGAATGTCAGAAATGTTTTCCTAATAACTTTGATCTTTTTAAACATCAGACGGCTCACAAAGAAAAGATGTTGGCTTGTCCGGAATGCGGGAAAAACTTCTCTTGTAAGGCACGTCTGATCAGACATTACAGGAGCCACACAGGAACAAAATTATTTTCATGTTCAGCCTGTGGGAAATGGCTTACTGATAAATCAAGTCTAATTACCCATCAGAGGAGTCATATGGGAGATAAGCCCTTCTCCTGCTCTGTCTGCGCAAAATCTTTTACTACTCAATCAGATCTTGTTAGACATAAGAGAACTCACACCGGAGAGAAGCCATTCTCATGTACAGAGTGTGGAAAACGTTTTACGCAAAGTTCTCACCTTCTTCGGCATCACAGGCTTCACACAGAAGAGAAGATCTTTACGTGTTTTGAATGTGGAACATCATTTCCTAGTAAAATAAGTCTTGCTGCCCATCATAAGATTCACACAAGAGAACATCAGTTCCCTTGTTCTGTGTGTGGTAAATGTTTTAATACGCAAACAGAGCTTAGTAGGCACCAAAGGATTCACACAGGGGAAAAACCATTTGCTTGTTTTGTATGTGGGAGATGCTTTACCCAAAGTGCACATCTTAGCAAGCATCTCAAAAGCCATACGGGAGAGAAACCATTCTCATGTTCTGTGTGTGGGAAACGGTATTGTGCACAGGCAGATCTTGTAAAACATCAGAGGATTCACACCTGATCGAAATGTTCTTTGTTTTATTTATTTTGTTTTGTTAATTATTGCCAGATAAGTTATATTACGTTTTGATGGGACTCTGTCATGTATAAGAAAAAAGTGTCCAGAGTTTATCTGCTAAGAGTTACTTTGTGTGTACAATGTTATCTGTGGTTACATTGAAATAATACCTTTGCAACATGTTTGAACTCTTGATTCACGGAATGACCCAAGGCGAAATGATTCTTTGTCAGGTGCAAGGAATTCACAGCTAGATACATCCAACGATGATTAGAATTGAAGAAACATTCTTTCTAAATGTTGATCAATCTAGATATGTGATAGTTGTTTCCTGTAACGAATTGTACACCAGGAAGTATTGGCAGATATAAAGGGATATGGTTATGTAAGGCACGACAAAGACTGTTTAAATGCTTGTGTTACCACTCTTTCTATTCAGAATATTTAACTGTACAGTATTTAATGTTTTCACTGACCGGTAGTGAAAATGTTTCTGTGCTAAATAAAACAAAATTCTTTAAAATTATATTTTTCATTTCATATTTCCATAGTTAAAACAAGACATGTGTTCATCAAGTTCAGCCTTCCTCACATATGTTTTTGCTATTGATCCAAACAAAGGCAAAATAACCCCAAACTAGGGGGGAAAATCCCTTCTTGACCCCAAAATAGCCGTTCGTTGTCTCCTTGGATCAAGCAGCTATTACCCCACTAATTAATGATATCCTTGTATATATTACATTTTGCAAGACATGAATTACTTTATCTGAGCTAGCACATCTGCACAGCATAATGACATTACGGCTTACAGTTTATAAAAACCCAGCTATTCAATAGTATGCGATACTACAGTGTTCCTTCTAAAAGCAATAGGATAAACAGGATTTGCCATTTGTGGTTTGGGCAAAGCCTGGGCATATGCTGCAAAAAGACAAAGGTAAGGGCTTATTTTTTTATATTGCTTATTGGAAGAATGCTTTAAAGGAGAGCGGTGACTTCAACACTATCTTTTAATATAACAATCCTTTCACCAAGTTTTGAAAGGAAATGGATTTATTGTTAAACGAAGTATATTTAAAAAACAAAAATGAGAAAACCTCACCTCTACCTTCAGTATATGGCAGGATCCTTCAGGGATATACACGCACCTTGGGTCAGACAGTGTTGGAATTAGATTGTTAATCAATTTGCTGATGTCACAAGTGAGAATTCAAAGTGAATTTTAAATGTAAGCCAGATTAGCAAAACTGCCTTTTTTCCAGTTCAGCCATTTTGACCTTAAATTTGAAATTTGCTTTGAATTCTCACTTTAGTGAATAACACTGACTGAACAGGATCTAATAGAACATTATGAAGTAAAAAGTTAGGTATTGATGCCAAATGTCACATGTTCTTCTGTATTCACTACACCCAGAATTAATGGAAACTCAAATCCAAATGGCATTTTTAAAACTAAAATAGCCAATGTAAAAACATTCTCCAAATAGCCTAAATGTATATTTTTACCTGCAACTTTTTATGAATAACCCTGCAAGTTGTTTTTAGTTCAGCTATATCTGTGTCTATTCACTAATTCCTGGGTCGTCCATGTTTTAGGTTGTTGATGTCATTGTATAGTATGTGTCACTCATTTTTACTATATCTTCTCCCAAGTAATCATAAGACTTGTAAACCTTAAGGAAAATGTCCCTAACCTATTATTAAGGGTGTATCCAGTCACAGAAATCCCTCAACCCATTATAAAAGCTCTTAAAAATGCTAATTTGTGTCATTTTTTGTTTGAAAAGGGTAGACAGACCTGTTGTTTGACTTGTTATAATCTATACAATCTATTTCTTTTTTTTACCTTACAAGGCTTCATCAAATTCTGTATCACTGCACAATAAAACTACTACTAATCTTGCTTTACACAGAAACATTACAGACAACAAGAGATCATCTGTGAAGACTTGAGGATAGGAAATTGTACTTATGGCAGAGAAAAGTGTGTAGGGGGGTTTATATATTTTTTTAAATGTTTTTTCCACCCATGAATTCCTATTTGTCCTTTCCATTCAGTTGCTCCATTAAAACATCCAATATTGGAATACAAATTGAGGGAGGCGGAGCCTGCAAGCAGCTTGTTCAGACACCATTATCGAGAGCTCCTATCGATACCTTACAAAATCGACAATTACCTCCCTGCTCGAACCGATAATCAGATCCTCCAAGTGGGGCTGCATCGCTAAATGCCTTTTTTCTAACCAACGAAACAGCCGAAGCTGCGCTGCAAGGTCAAGGCCTACTTCCTGTCAGCAATCCGCGGGCTGGAAACCATTCTCGGCGGGCTCGCTATGGGACCAATAACCATGTCCCCCAGCCAGCTAGAACGTATGCCGGCTATGGGCCACCGCTCATAGAAGCCATGGCTGAGGGCAGGGACATCGGGGCCATGTTTTCCACGACCCACGCAACCCAGACCGACACTTAAAGATGACCCACATGGCGTTGTGCCACATACTGCAACAGAGTGCCAGATACAAGAGGCACCACCTGTCCCTCAGACTCCCAAGCTCTTCAACGGCTCAGCTCCCACTACTAAAAGCGACCATAAGGTCCTGCTGGCGGACATCCAAAAGGTCTGGACAGCTGACTTAATGCTCATCAAAACTGAGATCCAGGCGGTCACAGACCGTGTCAGAGCTTCTGAAGAAGACATGACAGAAGTGAGGAGTGACTTCTGACATGCAAGCCTCTATTCAGCAACTTCACAACCATCAGATGATCCTGACACTCCAAATGACAACAATGGTGGACCAACAGTGCAGGCATCTCAACCATGCTCTCCACAGAAGAGCTACCACACTATATCTGGAGACTACTAGCAACAATTCTACCTCACCCTGTAGCCAAACAGGTGTCCAACTAGTGCCAGCTAACCTGACCAGGAAAGTTATCCTCTGCTGCTTGAACTTCAAGGATAAAAGTTAGATCATGCCTGCCCTGAGAGGCAAAACGTCAGTGACCTTCAAGGTGCATTCCTGTCCTTCTTTCAAGACCTCACCCGAGCTACGCTCCTATGGCGCAAAACTCTGGGAGTTTTCGAAACTGCGAGCAGCGAGGATAGCATACAAGTGGGGACCACCTGGAACCTTAACGTGGCTCCCTCCTGTGTGGCTATTAAGTTAGTTTCTAATAGTATGCTCACTGGCGACTCGCTAACACTATAGACATGTGACATAAAGACGAAAGTCCACATGGCAGCCAACTAGCGACTGATGGACTTTCCTTTCCCTCCCCCCTCCTGCAACTCCCTTGGTTAGGGGTACACTACAACACCATAAAGGCAACACTCTCTCGTACACATCCTTACCAAGTGACAAAATCTCAGATACAAGTCTCTACACGCCATTCTAAACCCCAAATACCGGGGTTACTTTCCTAAGCATCCACACTCCACTATACGCATCCCTTAGTCTCGGCTATCTGACAAAGAACGCATATTCCTAATATCTATTTTGAGGGAACCATGAGACATGACTCCTACATACTTGGTACTTCTAGCACATCTAACTTCCCGGGCAGCCCTACTTTGTGCTTACTTGTATATTAAAGGGACACTAGTCACCTGAACAACTTCAGCTTAATGCAGTTGTTCAGGTGAGAACTATAGCTCCCTGCAGCCTTTCTCATGTAAACACTGGATGCTAGGAATAGCTCCAGTTGCAGTCACTCAGACTGCCACCAGAGGGACTTTCGAGTTGATGAATGCATAATTCGCATTCATCCACGTGTGACGTCTTCAGGCTTGGGTGAAGACCTCAAACGTGCTATCAGCTATCAGCATACAGGAGATAGGAGGCACTGTGAATGCACCTCCTATGTCCTGTAGTAACCCCAGGGACTGTCAGCAATGAAGAGCCGACCGTGTAGGAGATAAGATCTCCTGCACGCCGCGTCGGCTCGAGCTGACAGGCTAAAGACCGGAGACTGTGCAGGAGGGGAGGATTTAAATTGTAAGTAAACTTATTTTGTGACTGAGTGTGTGAGTGATTGAGTGTGGTTGGGTGGGTGAGGGTGACTGAGAGTGGGTGAGTGAGTGTGTGTGTGAGAGAAATAGAGAGAGATGGATAGTGTGTGTATGTTTAACAATATTTATTTACAGTGTGTTTCTATACAAACACTTTATATAGAGCTTTATATATAGTGTTTGTATACTTACTTTGGGCTGGAGGGTTGCGGGCATTGACTGCGAGCTGGGCTGTCAGCCAGCTCACGAACGCGTATACCGCGCACATGCACAGTAGAGCGCTCCGTGTTCATTCATTCAGAGGGCACCATTCAATGCCGCTCTATGAAGAACCTGATTGGTGCAGTGCGAAGCCGTGCATGCGCACCAGTTGCACGATGACGCTTCTCAAAGAGAAGCCTTCAATTGGGCCCTCTGATTTCGTCATTTGATGAAAAAGGGGGTGTGGCCTAGCGAGGAGCTCGGCGCTGGAATGGAGGTAAGTTTTAATAATAAAAAGGGCACGGATTTTTTTTTAAGTTTGAGAATTTGCACCTCACAGGTCACCTCTCCCCAAGTTGCTATAGTATGTTTTGTAGTGTCGAAAATTTTATCTATGTCTCCCGGCAAGGGTCCTGGCCATAATCGATGGGCTATTTTATTGTGGGAGAAATCGGGTGGATTTTTCGGATCTTTATGGATTTTTGGTATAGTATACATAACCAGATCTTTCGGATGTTGTTCACACAAAAACCTAAACAATGTATTTTCCAGATATCCTGACAGTTGGCATCGTGTATGCATGTCTGGAAAGCAAAGGATCTGTATGAATGTATGCTAGTTTGTGTCTCTATATGCAAATGTGTGTTATGTTTGCAGTGTTGTGTCTTTGTAAATATATACACATGGACGTGTCCGGATGTTGCTGTATGTGGACTGTGGGTCTGTAAATACACCTGTAATAATACCTTAGCAACCTCCCTTTCTACCTTCTCAGTGGTAGTCCTTTACAGGTGAGAGGGAGTCGGAAAAAATGATGTAGCCTCTTTGCTTAAGGAGATTGCAAGGCTGAGGGGAGAGCAAGACAGCGAGTTTAACAGAGCAGAGTCAGCAGGACAGAGCAGAGCAGGCAGAGAGGACAGAATAGGGCAGACAGAGGGTTTAACAGAGCATAGTCAGCAGATAGCAGGGCAGAGCAGGCAGAGACGACAGAGTTTAACAGAGCAGAGTCGGCAGATAGCAGGACAGAATAGAGCAGAGTCAGCAGAGAGGACAGAATAGAGCAGACAGAGTGGGCAGAGAGTTTAACAAAGCAGAGTCAGCAGATAGCAGGGCAGAGCAGGCAGAGAGGACAGAATAGGGAAGACAGAGGGTTTAACAGAGCAGTCAGCAGATGAGCAGAGCACATAGGGTTTAACAGAGCAGAGTCAGTAGGACAGAGCAGAGAGGACAGAATAGAGCAGACAGAGAGAAGGACAGAGTTTAACAGAGCAGAGTCAGCATATAGCAGGACAGAATAGGGCAGACAGTCTTGGCCACCATCTTAGATGGCCACGTTATAGAGAGGCTCCTGGACAAGGGGGACAATTTTGTTCCAAAAGTGACAATTTTAATTTTAATGGACCAACTCTAACAGAAGTTACAGAAAGTCAATTCATCACTGAAGATGCAGAAGCAAAAGAAAACTGAAACCTTCATCCCGTACCTGGGATGAAGAAAATGGAAGCAGGAGCTGCTGGGGTGAGTAAGGGTTCCCAGGCTCACTCCCCTCCTTCCAAATCCGGCTCGCGGCTTGTTTCGCCGCTTAAATTATCGTTGGTGGCGTCGGGGAAATCCCGCCCGGTCTCCCGTCCCAAAACTTATGCCTGTGCGGCCACAACCCGTCCGCAGCTTCCTGAGAGCGGCGGGACCGCGGCCACACTAGCCGGCACTTCTGTGTGCGGCTCAGAGTGCTCCGAGCACTCAGAATGCTCGGAGCACAGTGCTGTGTCTCCCGCATGCGGCAAGGACCACCCAGCAAGCAGCTCGCGGTCCCACACTAGAGCAGCCCGGTCGCTCACTTACAAAAGCGACCGGGTTGCAAGTATAGGGGAGGGCAGTGCGAGGTCACGCTCCCCGTCGGGATCCTCAGCCTCCAGGTTGTCGGTCTCGGCAGGGGGGAACTCTGCTGTCCGACCCAAAACATTTAAAGGCGCAGTAAGGGCTATGGTAAGCCCAGATGATAACAGTATGGAATTAGGGGCTGAAGTGCTCCAAATAAGTACTTTCTCTGTACTACCACAGAGAATACGTCATGATGCCACAACAAAGATGGCTGCCAGCCCAGATACTGTATATTCCACTCCCAAGATGGCCGCTGCCACCTCCAATATGGCTACTACCACATTTAAAGCAGTGACTTACAATCCTAATATGCCTAACACCCTGAGATGGAGAAACTTTTTTTGTTCTCCCTCATGGCCCTCTTTCACTGTTTTTGTTTCACCCCTGATAGGGGTATATACCCAAGTTTTTTGTTCCCCTTTTTTACTTTTTTATATTTTTTGTCCATTCATTATTTAAAGTTCAGTAGAAACGTTTCTAGACCACGAAGCACTGCAATGCTTCATACAAAAATGCATACTATGTGGCATCAGCAACTTGCAAAAATCTGTTTACTCATTATTCCTGTACACACAAGTACACAGCTTGAGTTTGCTTTAACAGTTTTGTTGGACTTGCATGTTTCTCTCTTGGAAGGCGGTTGCTGGGACTCTCACAAAATTGAATGTTCTTTTACCATTTACCAGATATTACTGTTCCATAAACCATGGTTTTAAAATGTCATTTAATGTGAGAGACCTGAACACCGCCCATAAGAGACGATTATTATTCAAAGAAGCAAAATCCAACACATCAGATGTGATCTGTGTACAGGAAACACATTTTAAAGCTGATAAAGACCATAAAATTACGTCAAAGCTTTTCCCAGTCCAATACCATTGCACTTATAAATCCAAGTCTAGAGGTACATCGATTTTCTTTCACAGGAATGTAGCATGCTTGACAAACAAAGCAATAACGGATGATGACGGGAGGTATTTAATATGGATAGGATCACTCAATACTATTGAATACACTGTTGTGAACATGTATTTTCCAAACACCGGTCAGTTGCAGTTTTTTAGGAAATTGATGGACTTAGTGAATGAGAATGTGAGAGGCAGCTTGGTAATGTGTGGTGACACGAATTTGTTATGGATGGTGAATTGGATAACGCTAGGGAAGAACATGATCGACAGGTTTGAGGGGACAGTGACAGATTAGCGTATAAATGCTCCAGATATATGATTGAATGTGGCTTATACGACCCTTGGAGACTGATGCATGAGAATGAAAGAGATTTTACGTATTATTCTGTCTCTAAAAATATGTACTCCAGGCTGGACTGGTTTATGGTCCAGAGTGCTTTAATTCCGCACATCTTGAAATCTGATATCTTAAACATCAACTGGTCCGACCATGCTCCAATCTTAATGCATATTGACGAAATTGTTTCATCAGCCCCTAACAGAACCTGGAAATTAGGTGATTATTTGTTAAATGATGTTGTGAACAGGTCACTGACGGAGAAAGCTTTGTGTGATTATTTTCGGAGAATGCCTCACCTGAGGTTCCTGGCGAGGTGACTTGGAATGCGCATAAGGCTGTGTTAAGAGGTCATTTTATTTCTAGAGCATCTCATCTGAAGAGAATTAATAGCAATAATTTAAGAACATTGGAAAAAGAATTGTACAATTTGAACCAGGCTAATAAACTTGGTCCATCATCCTCCCTATCAGCAATGATAGGAGAAATTAAGGCTAAAATTAACAAAATGAATTTAGATCGTACATCTCTCATGGTGAGACGTCTCAGGAAAACATTTTACTTACAAGGCAACAGGGCCTCAACTCTTTTGGCATCCAAACTCCGGCATGTGAATGCCCAATCAAAAATAGCATATTTACTTGATGATCAAGGGCGAAAAGTGTTCCATTCAACTAAAATTATTGATATGTTTGCGGAGTATTATAATTTGGAATGTAATTTGGACCTCCCCCAGCCTTCTACAACAATAATTGATAAATTCTTAGACAGAGTGTCATTGCCTCGGCTGTCTCCAGGACATTTAGAAAGCTTAGAATGTGAAATATCAGCAGTAGAAATAGCTGAGGCAATCAAACTTACGCCATCTGGAAAAGCCCCTGGTCCCGATGGATTCACTATTTTATATTATAAAACTTTTCCAGAAATTTTAATTCCCCATATGACTAAATTGTTCATCTCCTATAAGTCTGGGGGAAAGATGCCGGAGGAGTCCTTGTGCGCAAGAATAGTCACTTTGCCAAAGCCGGGAAAAACTCCCGATAGATGCCCTAACTTTAGGTCCATTTCTCTGATTAATAATGATTCAAAGATTTATTCTAAAGTTCCCGCTAATAGATTAACCAAACTAATCCCATTGTTAATTAATAAGGATCAAGTAGGTTTTGTACAGAATAGACAGGCGCCAGACGGAACTAGAAGATTCATAAATTTGATTCAGCACATCAATATGAACAAAACGCCTTCTTTGCTTCTATCTCTAGACGCAGAGAAGGTGTTTGACAGGATACATTGGGGATATTTATGGAGAACATTAGACAGGTTCAATATACCATCATTCTTTATCACAGCAATTAAGGCGTTATATTGTGCACCTTCCGCCCATGTCTCAGCTTCTGGCTTCACATCCAAAACTTTTTCTCTAACCAACGGGACGAGACAGGGGTGCCCTTTATCTCCAATTTTGTTTGTCTCAGCGATAGAACCCCTGGCAGAACTGATTAGAACGACCCCACAAATTGTAGGAATTGCTATTAAAGAATCCGTTCACAAAATTGGCCTGTTTGCAGACGATATAATCCTAGCTGTTAAAAACCCAAGGGAATCTCTGAGACATCTCAAGGATATTTTAACTCAATTTGGTGAGATATCGTATTACAAATTAAATGAGTCCAAAACTCAAGCCCTCCTGTTCCACTTAAACAACTTGGAAACCATTGCCCTTAAGAAATCATATTTATTTGATCGGAGAACTGAATATATGGAATAACTTGGCATTAATTTATGCAAAAATGTGGTCAATATGCACAATCACAACTTGAGGAAAGCATGGTCAAACTTACAAAAAGAGATGGAGAGATGGGGTGGGATGAAGCTCTCATGGCTGGGGAGGGTCGCATCTATTAAAATGAAGATACTCCCCCAAATTTTATATTTTTTTAGGACCATTCCACTGTCCATTCCATTGTCATTCTTTAATAATTATTAGTTCACTCGACAATGTTGAAATTTATCTGGGGGAACAAGCCTGCCCGAGTGAGGCTCACTTCCCTGCAGCACCATAAATCGAATGGCGGTATCGGTGTCCCCGATATCCGCAAATATTATTTCGCCACTAACGCTGCAGTGGTTGTGAGCTTTAACAACCAGGATGATAAACCCAGATGGATGGAAATAGAGGAATCAAAAATTTTACTGGTTAGATTATCAGAATTACCTTGGTTAAATTCTAAGAAAAGACCTGGAATTACAAAATTATTTTTATCTACCAAGACTATGCTTAAGGCCTGGGACATTGTTTTTAAAAATGACCAGTCTCCCAGTTTATATAGAGCAATGCCTATTGAGTTATTGAAAGATTATATACCATCCTTAAAAATAGAATTGTTGAAGGATTGCTCTATAACTAATCTGGACAATTTTTTTTATGGCAATGCTATTCTTTCTTTGGAAAAATTGAAGCTTAAGTATGGATTGTCAAATGTATGTGAACTGGAATGTATGCTAATCATTGACAAATTGAAAGAACTATACCAGGTATCTGAAACAGATAAAAACTATAAATCACTTGAGATATCTCCTTTAGAGAAAGTTTTTTTATACAGCCCGCTAGCAAAGGTATGATATCCTTATGCTGTTATCTCTATAATGCCAAGCCCTTAAAGGACCACTTTTATAGTGCCAGGAGAAAACATACCGTTTTCCTGGCATGCCCTGAGGTGCCCCCACCTCAGGGCCACCCCAGCCGGCTCTGAGAGAGGAAGGTTAAACACTTACCTTTCTCCAAGCCGGGCGATACTCTCCTCTCCTCCTTGTTGTACATGGGAACGAGCGGAGTTGGGTGCCCAGTACGTGATTTTCACAGTGAGAAGACGCATCTAGCGGCTGTCAATGAGACAGCCACTAGAGGCTCTGGAGGCTGGATTAACCCTCAGTATAAACATAGCAGTTTCTCTGAAACTGCTATGTTTATAAAAAAAAAGGGTTAATCCTAGAGGAACCTGGCACCCAGGCCACTTCATAAAGCTGAAGTGGTCTGGGTGCCTAGAGTGGTCCTTTAATTAAATTAAAACATATGCTGTCGTGGGAGACGGAGTTGGGTGCCCAGTACGATTTAGAAGAATGGTTCGGTTTTTTTAAAGGTTTAAAAGGTATTTCGTATTGCACCGACCATTTTGAAAATCATTATAAAATCTTATATCGCTGGTACCTGGCTCCATCTAGATTACATAACATGAACAATATGTATTCTGACCGGTGTTGGAGAGACTGTGGGGGAGTGGGCAATATGGCCCATATCTGGTGGTTCTGCCCCAAGTTAATTAATTATTGGAAAATGATTCATGATCTAATTATTAAAGTGAACGGAACCATTAGTATCTTAACCTCGGAACTAGCCTTATTTAAAAAAACTCCCGGAGTCCGTTAATAGATCAGATAAAATAATCATAGGCCACATTCTGATCGCTGCTACATCCTGTTTACCTAGACATTGGAAGTCCCAAAATGTGCCATCTCTCAGAGAAGTTTTTAATCTGATCCTAGAAAACAAGGCACACGAATTATCACACAGAGCCAATATGCATGATTTTCCAATACTAAAATATAATTGGGATAAATGGGAAGAAAAAATCAAAACAGTTTATGGTCTTTGATATATTTATTGTTAAAGTGCATTGATGTATTTTTTGCCATATACATTATGTTTATTTCAATGATGGATGGATACCCCTTCCCATTTCCAAGTTACCCTTCCTTTCCTACTCTTAATACAATGTTTGTATTACTACCACTTGTTATACAAATTTTTTTAAAACTTTAACAAAAATTATTTGAAAAGAATAGGGCAGACAGAGAGCAGAGCTGCTGATCACAGGTGGAGGGGGTGTTTAAATATACTCCTCTACCTCTAGTTAATCTCTTCTCAGCGTCAGCTTCTTAAAGGGTTATTCCAAGCATCTTAACTATTACGGCCTACTGTAATGGTTATGATGTGGACGACCCTGCCACCGTCCGCAGGTAGTGGGATAAACAGCTTTGCAACAGCTGGTCTTATTATCTGGGTACCCACCGGGCACAGAGGGTCCTCTATGGCTGTTGACATGCATCCAGCTTGTGCAGAACTCGAGAAGCTGGTCCCACTGGCCATTGATTGAATGAAAGCACCAGCTGACCACTCTCAGCCAATGAATTACTTTCTGTACATAGAAACATGCACAGAATTGACAATGAAGCTTTCTAGGTGTTATGGCTACATAGTTTTAGTGCTGCATAAATCGTATAGCCATGTAGGAGTTCATCATACCATCATATAAAACCAGCATTCCTAGCTTCTTTACCTTGGCTACATATCCAGGATCCACTTCATGCACTGCAGCTCCCATGGTTCTCTGTTGGGTGTCTTATTGATTGAAGTTTGCATGTAAGCCTTGGATCTAGGCACTGGTAACTCGTAGGTATTTCCCACCAGCTGTACAACAGTACCACCAATTTCTACTGCATATCTGACCACGTGAATTGCAGAGAACGTGCCACTACAGGTCCGCATGCACACAACACTAAACATGGCATGTAGCCTTTTGGATCTACTCTTTTGTAATTCTTCTAAATATGTGTATACAATCCTGGACATGTTTTACAATAATCATTAAATTTTTGGGGTGTAAAAGAAGAATGACATAAATCCTTAGATGCACTAGTTGATGCTATTGCATTACTTGATCCAGTCCATGGCTACCTATTGAACCCAAAATGTGGTAGGTGTATTTGTATATATATATATATATACATATATATATATATTTCCCCCCTCGAAAAAAAAAAAATTACGTACCAGGGATGTTATTCATAAAATAAAATAATTTGTCAGTATCAAATGTAAAAGCAGTACACGGATCGGTTTTTGCCATTCACAGTCAAACGTAGGTAAACACTCCAACTTTGCATTAAACAATTCTTTTAGATAAGTGTACATTTACCAAGTCCTTCGAAATAATCCTGGAAATATACATTAGTCTAGCGATAGGCCATGACTTGTGCAAACATATGTCTCTTGATCACTTATGTGAATAACTCTAAATATCAATAAACAAAATGTAAACAATTATAACACTGACCAATTACTCTCACAGTTTAGTATAAAGTTGTGTTTAAAGTCCTCAGGTTAAAAATTCCAAAAGTATCTATTTTATTGAAGGCTGTACATTTTTAAAATATTTGTTTTATATTTCATTCTTCAGGTGATTGTGTTGCATCAAATATACCCCATCGATAGCTACATTTTATACTTGTCAATATAATACACTGTATGGGGGTGCACATGAACATCATCAATTAGTGTAACCATTCAGCAATAACAAAGGCTTATTGTTTTATTTTTTCAGTACCGTACGTATGTGTGTGTATGTTTCAGTGTGAAATTAATACTAATCATCATAAAGTAAAATAGCAACTATTGTATGCCATTATCTGGATCTGACTAATAGTTTCTAATGCATTATACTGAATTGTAAATAAAATAAATTATATATATATATTGACTGGTTAGCATAGCGATAATGTCACCTTAGAATCGGGAACCCCAGGTTCAAATCCTGGTCCGGTCAATAAAACCAGTAGGTGTCCCTGGGCAAGACATCTAAAGACATATATCCTGCCCACCTCAATAATATGAGAGTAACTCGAACAAAGAAAGTCATGCTGGCTCAGACATCGCCTGGAATTACAAGGTCCAGGTCAGATACTAGGGAAATCTGACCACAAGTGGTTTACTGGAACAAACTATTCCTGGACACGAAGTGAGAACCTAGACCTGCTTTAATGCCAGTACAACAGCAGACCCAATGAGAGGGGCTACATGAAACATGTGGGAACTATGGATGAATAAGAGACCGTCATCTACCCTAATGCCAAAACATATGGTTACACAACTTTTGAACATCATGTAGAGGAAGTTAGTGTCAAAACTGCAATTAGATGGACCACAGATAACCTCAACCACACGTCATGAGGAGGAAGAAATTTCCATACCTGAAGAGGATTGCCAACCAGAATCCTTGCCCCATGATGTGTGTGACGAGGTGCCCTTCGCCACTTGTGCCTGGAGAGGCCTAATTGCCAGCCTCCTGCCCTGTGACTATGGCCCCTGGAAGATTTTGCCCTTTAAAAACGTTATTTGGGCATATTGGATTTTATTGTACTCTGCCCGTTTAAATTATATTGGAGCAGCCTGCAGCTTTAAATTGTGAAGAAAACCCCTGTTTTATTCCCCCACTCCTCCCTCCTAGAACACCAGTTAAACCCTTAATACCTTGTTACATTCAAACTCTGTCTGACCGTATAACTGTCATATATTCAAACTCTGTCTGTCCTTATAACTGTCATATATTCAAACTCTGTCTGACCTTATAACTGTCATATTTTCAAACACTGTCTGTCCTTAACTGTCATTTTGTTTTCCTCTGAGGAGGAGTTGTTTTGCTGCATGAATACTGTGTGCTCGTTAAACAGACCTGCTTGACCCTCTCTTGAAGCCTTGGCTCATGCTTGGGGGATGGGATAAGTCTGCAGTGCTGATGGTGTCGGTTGGAGTGCTTGGAGTCCTCAACAAGCACTGGGAGCATCAATTGGCGGAGCTACTCGGTCGGAGTGCCAGGCGGTCCGTCACAATGGCATAACAACAGATATAAGAAAACTGATCCTAGAAAAGCTAGCATTCCTTGACCAGTGGATAAGACTACCAAAGATGACTGAAAAACTGCCACTAGGCAGCATGCAAGCTGCAGTTAATGAGGCACAATCCCAACTCCCACTATCACAGAGACCAACAGGCTCATATATTGTCCCACTACTGGTCTTACAAGATCAGGCTCATAGAGAAGCAAAGCCCACCATGGAGACTATGACTGGAAGCCAAGAAAACCACCAAATGCCCCTAGGTCCCCATTTTACCTTTTTAAAGATCTTTCTTTTATGCCCGGACCTAGATCCTGGGTGCTGCCATACTTGTGAAGGCCCTGTGGAACACATCATCTGCCCACACTAGATAGCGTAATGAAATTCCTGCGCATGCCTAGTTGAACACTAGCATTCGCTATTGTCCGAAATTTGGATGGGAATTTCAGCTATTCATTCACTCAGCTATTATTCATTCAAAAAGATGAAGACCTCTTCATTAATTTAGTTTATTACAAGGAGAGAGCTACTGGCTCAAGGCTCCCTCCTTGTAATATGTGAAAATAGAAGCAGCGGGAAGCCCCTTCACCTCCTAACTCCCCCCATCATTCTATGAGGGTCAATATGATCCCCATATTCGCATAAGAGAAATTAAAATCTCCTGAATGCTCCTACTCGCTATACCGCTCGTGGGTGGGTGCCAGGGGGAAGAAAATAGGAGCCCCCTCTTTTTGTTACTTAGGGCCCCCACACAGTACTCATGGGTAAGGGCTGGGAGGCAGTAGGTCCCCCCTTTTGTTACTTAGGGCCCCACCCGACGCTCATGGCTGGGGGCCGGGTTGGGGAGACAATAGGTCCCCCCCCCCAATTTTGCTACTTAGGGCCCCCACATGCTGCTCATGGGTAGGGGCCGGGGGGAGGGCTGTGTGGATTTCTACATTTTTCATTTTCAAATCTCACACATGTATTTGTTAAATATAGGGGAAATGAAAAAACAATATTAAATATGCTGGGGAATAACAGTTCCCCTTTAAATTGTCCCCTTGGTGTAAGATTTAAAACGGCAGAGCAAGTACACATCAACTCAAACTTTCTCCATCAAAGCTCAGCTTGGGGAAGACTCATGTGATACAGGATCTATGGATTCCTTACCCATTCTCTAATGTGCATTATTTCCCACCATTATCATACCCATTTTATAGTATTATATTCACGTTAAGCATTTCTCATGATATATTTACATTTATTTCTGATTACCCATTGTCCTCTAGAACTTTTGAAGAACTAACCCCTACTTTTCCAAAGTAGATAGTTGCATGGCAGGGTTATTTAGAAAAGTATTAACTGTCAGGAGTTCAAGCTATCCAAATTGAAAAACAAAATAACCAAGTCAGCTGTGTCCATTCAATTATTTGAGTCTACAATTTAGATTTGCTTAAAATTTCCAGTCATTCACACTTTATTGAATAATCCTGTTTCAATTCAATTTGAATTCCACACTGTCTGAACAATCCCTTTTATACAAAGAGAACTCGGAGGGCTTCTATGAATTGCTTCTTCAGACTGAGTTTTTGGGTAGAAACATTTTTTTTAAAAGCTTTGTCAACTAGAATGGAATTGTTCTTGATCACAATGAGTTAATCTGAAAAATTACAGAAGTAGATCAATATCTTTGCCTGGAAATTATAGACCTGTGAGCTTAACTTCTGTGGCTGGGAAAATATTGGAAAGGTTATTAAGGGATAATATTCAAGAATTCTTTGAGAAGAACATAGTTATCAGCAAAAATCAGCACGGTTTTATGAAGCACAGGTCATGTCCCTAATTACACCCAACCCGCAATCACACTGACAGACATACTGACACATACGCACACAGACAGACATATTAAAACATTCTCAGATACATACTGACATACACATACACTGACACACAAATATATACTGGCAGACATATTGACACACATTCATGAATACACAAACACAAACTGACAAATATACTGACACACACAGATGCATACACTGACAGACCTATTGACACAGACACACAGGCAGACATACTGACAAACACACAGACATACTGACACACACACACACACACACACACAGGCAGACATACTGACACACACAGACATACTGACAAACACACACACAGACATACTGACATACACACACACATAGAGACATACACACACACACACACAGACAGACACACACACAGACTTAATGACACACAGACATATTGACATACACACAGAGACATACTGACACTCACAGACATACATACACACATACTGACACACACACACACAGACATACTGACATTCACACACACAGACATAGACACACACACACAGACATAGACACACACACACACACAGACATACATTTAGCCACCCTCCAGGTTCTTACCTTTTTCTGGAGGGTGGTTTCCCTGGTCCAGTGGCAGGCTGAGGCAGATGGGAGTTCTCCTCTGGAACTCCCCTCCTCCCTGCCTTTCTCCTCCCGCTCTGATCTCCGGTGGGAGGAAGTGACGCGCGGCACTCACTTCCTCCCAGCCGGCTGCCGAACAGGAAGAGGCCCGGTCGTGCTGTTTAAGTGTCACAGCGCCCGACCGGGCCCCTGCTGACACATGCCCACCGGGTGGCCCTTAGTGCATGGGTCACCCGGGGGCCTCCTTAGAGTGCGGCTGGTGTGGCTCTGTGCAGCCGCCCCACCAGGTCCATGGGAGCTGCTCAAATCACGGGGCCCACGAGGCAGCTGCTCTGGGGCCCCTCAGGAGCAACTGGGCCCGGGGCAGCTGCCCCGTTTGCCCCGTGTTAAAGACGGCCCTGGGTTGATTCCTCCTTAATATGGATAGGTATGTATTCTGTCTGTGTATGTACTGTGGGTGTAGAAATATCAGGAGCGATAACATTTTCTTGTTCACTGGAGATGGTTTCTTCATACCATTTTCTCAGATATATTTCTTGCAGATCATCTGAATCTTTGGCTTTTTTGGTAACTAGACCTGGTGAAGAAACACAAGTTTGAGATCTCTTGTGTGTATCTCTGTCCATTGATAAATCTATTCATAAATAAAATATAATAATATACATATTTATCATATAAACAGTTGTTTCCTATGCTTTGTTGCCAGCAAATTGTTATGACAATTAATTCAGTGCCTTTTAAATATATCTTTCTTCTAGCTATGTATTATACCTTAAGAAATATGCTGAGGCTAGTTTTTATACATGGAACCTAGTTCATTCGACTGATCTTACAATCTAAATTTACACAAGCTCCAATTATCGCCATGCATTTAAACTCTTCCCCTTACTTTAAATATTGAAAGGGTGGTGGATACATAGGATAAACAACTGTAGTAGAGGTCAATACAATAAAGGGAATTTAAATAAGCATTAAATAAGTTTTCTAACCGATTTATAATACAGGTTTTAAATTACAAAGTTTTAACAATACACAATCATCCTACCTATCACATCCTTGTAATGATCTAGGTGTCCTCCTAGATACTCCCACTCCTCCATGGAGAGATGGACCGTGACATCCTCACACCACATAGAAACCTGACACACACAATGATACAGTCACCATCCAGACACATCCCTTGGTTTTACTGTATAATGTCCCATTCCCAGCAGCCTCACCTCTCCAGTCAGCAGCTGTATGATCTGATTGGACAGTTCCAGGATCTTCTTCTCATTGTTCCTCTCACGTATCAGTGAGGAAGATGGAGGCACCATGTTGGGACTCTGGGTCCTGCAGGATCCTTCTAAAATATTGGGACTGTTGTGTGTGACATGCTCACCATACTTCTTCACAATCATATAATCCTATATAAATAAATTAAAATGAGGATCATTAAACTTGGAATATTTAGTGCTCATTGAGATGTAATATAGCAATAATGCAATTCATTATAGACTGAAAGAAACTTAACAAGAAAATAATATATTATATAGTTGTGTAAACTTAGTGCAAATATGTTTGTAAGGTTCAACACTTACATTTTTGACCTGTTGTGATCTCTCTAAAGCAGGGGTAGTCAACCTGGTCCCTACTGCCCACTAGTGGGCGGTTTGGGATTTTATGTGGGCGGTGGTGGGTTCTAAAGAAAATGCCAAGGCCAGCAGTGGAGATCCTTTAATCTCCCTTGCCGGCCCAAGCTAAGCCAGCCTTGCTGTAAGCCCTATCGGGCTGGTGAGGAGATCAAAGCTCTCCCTCACCGGCTTGCTGGTACTTCTATTCAGCAGAGAGAGGGAATGGCCTGGGAGGCTCTGAGTTCCTCCCGTGAGCAGGCTGTCCAGAGCGTTGCCATGAAACGTTCTGATACAGTGGTGTGCTTGCAGGAGGACAGGAGAGTCGGCCTGCAGCCGGAGGAGCTGCAGGCTAAAGTGATCATGCAACCAGGGCTTGCAGCATTATGTCCCCCACACCCTGGTAAAGGGTAAGAAGGGAGGGGGAGACACACACTGCACCTTTTACACACACACACAAACACTGCAGCCTCACACACATACGGCACCCCTCACACACACTGTCCCTTACACAAACACTACACCCTTCACAGCACCTCACAGACACACATAAGAAAAAGTATAATAGAAAATAGAAAAAATAAATTAAAAAAAATCATTTTAAGTACACTTGTGCTATAAAATTCGCTTCTGTGGCACTGGTAGGCGGTAAGGAAATCTTACCATGAACATAGATACAAAAGTGGGCAATAGGTATTAAAAGGTTGACTACCCCTGCTCTAAAGAATAAGGTCTTGGACACTGAATATCTCACTTAGCATTTGTGAAGCAGTGGAAAGAAAGTAAATTGTTTAAATGGTGTACAACTGGGCTACTTGGTATACATTTTAAAAAGAACTCACTTGTAGAAAGCATGACTCATATTTACCTGGGTTCCTCTATGGCCAAGGTACAAAATGGAGATGGTATAGTCCCCATTAAGAAAAGTCTAATGATGGTGCTCATGTAGATAGGACATAAAATGGCAGCACAGAAACACATTATAGAAAGTTGTTATCAATATAGATAGTTGTGTGCTCTTGTGATGCAGTGCATGGGGTTTAAATAGTATGTCCAAAGAGATGTACAAAAAATAAATAGTATGTCCAAACTATTCCAACCCTTATACCAAACAGCTGAAGATTAACTGGGGTTAGAATGAGCTGCAATTATTGTTGGGGGAAGGGGCTGGGTTTCCATGTGCACAAATATTTCCTCTCCACATAGTTTTTTTTTTTTTTTTTTCCTAACTTCACTACCACAAAAAGACATTTGTCCAAATATGTTCAATATTATTGGCAATGATGCAGTGTCTGATGGCAGTGATGTTACTGTGACAATCCGAGAATCTCTCACCTCTCCAGTCAGCAGGCAGATGATCTCCAAGGTGAGACTCAGCATGTTCTTGGCCATCTTACTCCTGTAATTCTGCATTATTGTGGAGCCAGTCAGACACTCACGGACAGAATGTTCTTGGACTAAATCTCTGCTGCTAAGGAGAAAACTGTTTTCTTTCATTTGCAGCAAAGTTCATCTGGAATAATGAATGTCAGAAATATTTGCAATGTCACTTCTTCCAGTGACAACCCAGATTCAAAGGAAATGTCACCAATCACTACAAAGGCGGGTTAAAATCAAGGCATCTGGGGGGTGTGGCCTAACAGTCAATGGAGTAGGACGCACTCATTCCGAGCTCCTAGGCCCCAACCTGATTTGCCCCGATTAACCAGCACAGCAACGCCGCAGAAAGCGCACCTCCATGGGGGGGAAAAATCGACGGCTACCTACCGCAGCCCAGGTCACTCCGGCCCCTTCCCGACCGCCAGCCGGCCCGATGGACGAGTTCCTGGCCACGCCGCATGGCCTCCGCGACACTGGCGAGACCGGAACACCGGCCCTCGATTCCCCGGGCTCCAGGCGGGCTCGGGCGGGAATCCAGCACTCCTGGCACCCTGTCCCAAATATCCGCGGACCTCGCCGCGATCTCCGCGAGCATGATGACCCGGAAGGATAAAGGTGAAATGGTGGCTGAGTTGAGGGCCATAATAAGGGAGGAAATAGCGGCTGTGCGCACCGACCTCACGGCGCTGGAGCAGCGAGTAGACAGGTTGGAAGAGGAGCGCATACAATCCCAGCAGCACAGACAGGCAGCGGAACTGGCAACCACGAGGCAGGGCAACATCCTCCTGGACCTCCGCCGGCAGGTTGAGGATCTCGATAACCGCGGCCGACGTAATAACATCAGGGTCAGAGGCCTGCCTGAATCCGAGGACGAGGTACCGCAGGAGATCCTGAATGGCCTATTTGCGCAACTACTAGGAGATGCAGCTCCTGGCGACTTCGGCATCGAAAGGGCTCACAGGGCACTCCGCGCCCCCAGAAGAGACGGGCAGCCAAGAGACATGATTTGCGCCCTCCTGTCATTCCCGCTAAAAGAATCTATAATGCGGGCAGCACGTGCACAGCAGCACATCACTTACATGGAAGCACAAATATCCCTTTACCAGGACTTATCTACCATCACCCTAGATGCCCGCAGGGCCCTGCAGCCTCTCACCCGAGCACTTCAGGAGCGACGAATTCCATACAAATGGGGATTTCCATTTAGCCTGCAGGCCCGGATGGGAAACGTATGGCACATCATCCGCTGGCCGAACGACGTGCCACGGTTTTTAAGAACCGCCAACTTACCTCCTATCTCAGTGCCAAACTGGATCCTGGAGGAACCCCCGGCGCGAGCCACAGGCCCATCTGAAGTGGCACACAACATCCACCCAGAGCCTGGTCCACCAAGACGCAGAGGCGGCCCAATAGGCCCTGAGGAATAGAGGCCCCCACGCCGCCCGGACCAATGGCCCCCCCTGGGTCATCCCATGCCAGGTCAGGGCATTGCCTCCTGAGCTTACCCCAGCTTTGATTATGGACGCCATGCAGATCCGATGACACCACGGCAGGGGTATGTACTTTTAAGTCCGCTGCCAGCTTACATTAGCTAGTAGACAGGGAGGAAGGCCGCAGACAGGTGGGGTGGGAACTGAAGCCACTTTCGGGGAGCGGCCGGGAGCTAGGGCCCCATCAGCGAACCCACAAACCCGGGGCAAAAAGGGGGACATACCCCGTAGGTGGGGTGGGGATGATGGGCAGGGTACAAAGGGTCTGGACACTGACACCATCACCCGGGTCACACCCTGGGTCAAGACTGCTGAACTGAACAGGCTGCTCTAGCACACCGCTGCTCACGGAACAGAGCTGAGGGATGGATGCGGGAGGGCGAGGGCAACGGGATATGCAGGCACACAGGGCTAGAGCTGGGAGGGGGGCTGGGACAAGGCTGGGCACTTCTTGTTCATGTTGTTTAATTGTACACGGTTCCGTTTATATCACCCAACACACATCACAGCCACTCACATGAGGGGACAACCACACACAATCTGCCTCACTGAGACAAGCAAGACGCCATGTTGGTACGCCCCACTACGAAAGCCCAGGCACGCAGATAGCTACCATGACGGAAATTCTGGGCGCAGGGAGAGACCACGTCCCAAACCAGCCCCTCTGAAGGGACGCAAACGTGGGAGCTGGCGAGCCACGCCCATAGGGTGGCCTTTCAATGCAGCCCAACACATGTAGGACTGACTACCCCCAAACAGCGCCCTAACACCCTAGACACGCCGACTTGTAGCCAACGAACTGTAAGTTGCCCGGCGGGGGAGGTCAGACACGGAGGGCCCCGGGGTGCCCGGCAGACAAAACCAGTCGAATCCCCTGACAGCACCCGGCCACTAGGACCGGGACGCCAGGAGAGCCGACCGTGACGGGGGGACCCACGGGTACCACTGACCATAATGCCGACAGGACCGGTAGGCTTATCCGCTCCCAGACCTCGGGACTGCGGTACAGGACACCACAGCCCGACCGACACTCTAAGTCCCGGGCGACTACTGCGGACCCCTAGGCTAGAGTAGGCAAACATGGCGATTGCACACACCCTTACAGGTTGGGTGCCGATGGAGAGGGGAGAGAACCAACCTCACTCAGATCCGAGACCGACTTCACTGTAAGTGACCATACGGAACCCCCACTGAGACAGACCCACACTGTACATTACACCGGTGTTCTCGTCGCTGAGGTTCCCCACCAGGCTCGAGAACGAATACACCCGGTACAGGGTCAGAGTCACACCCGCACACCTGGAAGACACGCCAGACCGTTCACATCACCACCACAGACAGACAGACACCCCCCACACTCACCACCTCATCTTTACATCATACAGACAACGCTGCGGGGACGCCGCCCTGCCGCCGGGATGGACGCCTCGCGAGGATTTGTCCCGGCCCAACTGACATACTGGTCCAATAATGTTCAGGGGCTTAACACACCTGAAAAGCGCACGCACCTGGTAAGGCGCCTATGGGCCGTGAGAGCCTCCGTGGCGTTCCTGCAGGAGACTCATTTCCGAGGACTGGACGCCCCCAAACTAGAGAACAGATGCTACCCGCAGGGATTCTACGCGAATCACCCGGATGCTAAGAGGGCTGGTGTGGCAATACTCTTTGCACAAACGACGCCGTTCCAACATATAGCAACGCAGGCGGACCCGAACGGCAGATTCCTTTTCATTAAGGGTACAATCATGGAACACATGTATACCTTCGCATGCCTCTACGGACCGAATAGAAAACAGCATACATTCCTGGCTCGGACGCTAGCCAAATTGGAGAAATTCAGAGACGGCCTCTTGGTCATGGCAGGTGACCTCAACTTACCACTGGACCCCCGCACGGACACCTCCAGAGGACAAACCGCGATCCCGGCGCACTGCATACGAGCAGCACTACGATCTATACATAAACACGGCCTGGTGGATTGTTGGAGGGCATGTAACCCTGAAGGTAGAGACTACACCCATTATTCGACAGTCCATAAAAATTACAGTCGCATAGACTATATATTCCTGGCCCAGGAATACCTCAACCTCCTCCACGACGCACGAATAGGCATAATGGACCACACAGATCATGCACCACTGACGATCCGCACAAGCTCCCCACTATATAAACCCAGCGAAAGACACTGGAAACTGAACGAATCCCTACTGGACGATGCAGAGTGTAAGAGGGTGACTGCCCAAACCTTAACTGAATACTTTACTTCCAACGAAGATACGGAGACACCACCGTTAACGATATGGGAAGCTCACAAATGCGTCATACGGGGACATTTCATCGCCATAGGCACCAAACGCAAGAAGGAACGAACACGACGTATCACAACACTGCTAGACCGGATAGCTGACCTAGAAGGGGAACACAAGACGGACCTCGCAGACAGCACATACCTCCGCCTGACGGAAGCACGAAGGGAGCTGAAAGCCATACTATCACAAGGACTCTTACACACCGCGAGGAAGGCCTCCAGGTATTATTATGAACACTCGAACAAAAGTGGTAGGTTGCTAGCTAGGATGCTACAAGACAGAAGGAAAGCGCAACACGTTCACAAGATACGCACGAGCAGTGGAGACACAACCTGCCTCCCGGACGGCATACTGTCAGCGTTCCGGGAATACTACGCGGCGTTATATAACCAACCACGACAGAGCCATAGGTAGCCATCGAGAACGGATAACCACATACCTTCAGAACCACATCACCCGTCAGCTTACCCCGGACCAGGAGGCGGAACTCGAAATGCCCTTGACGATTGAGGAACTATCTGGCGCATTGAAATCAACTAAAGCGCACAGGGCCCCGGGCCCAGACGGTCTACCAGTCTCGTACCTACGCTCCTTCAAAGACACCCTGCTGCCCAAACTTCTGACAGGCATCAACTCAATCAGAGATGGAGGCCAATTCCACAGAGACACCCTGGGAGCAACCGTGGCAATAATACCCAAAGAGGGTAAAGACCCAACAATCTGCACCAGCTACAGGCCCATCTCTCTGATAAACGCGGACATCAAACTCTTCGCTAAGGCACTGGCACTCAGGATGGCCCGGGCGCTTCCGGATCTGGTGCACCCGGACCAAGTGGGGTTTATCCCCGGAAGAGAGGCCAGAGATAACACTATTCGAGCCCTCAACACCATCCATATCGCTAAAACGGGCAAAAAGGAAATGGTCCTACTATCCACTGACGCTGAAAAAGCGTTTGACAGGGTGGACTGGGTCTATATGTCGGAAACCCTACGACATTTGGGATACGGTCCACACCTGAGGACCTGGATAACGGCTCTATACACCTCGCCCACAGCCCGCATAAGAATAAACGGAGCACTGACTGACTCGTTTGATATACATAACGGCACGAGACAGGGCTGCCCCCTGTCCCCACTCCTGTTTGCCCTCACCCTGGAGCCCTTCTTGGAGGCGGTCAGACAGGACAGGGGTATCACGGGGTGCAGCATAGGAGGAAGAGAACACCGGGTAGCGGCTTACGCTGACGACATGCTCTTCTTCCTGGAGCAACCCAGAACCTCCCTCCCACATCTCCTGGAGGCGTTTCGACAATACAAGGAGGTATCCGGCTTGACGCTTAATCTAGATAAGTCAGAGATATTGCTGCTCGCACAGGACAACATCCTCCAACGACACATCCAAGCACAATTCCCCTTCAAGATCTCCACAGCCAAGCTACACTACCTTGGGGTGTGGCTCCCGAGAGACTTGACACTTATCTACCGACTGAACTTCGCGCCCCTGCTCACCACTCTACAACAAGACATGAAACGCTGGACACCTCTGTACATCTCATGGTTTGGGCGCATCAGTGCCGTGAAGATGAACATTATGCCCAGATTATTATACCTGTTCCAGACACTACCAACGTACCTCCCGAGGGCATTTTTTCAGACCCTGACGACCGCAGTCAGGAACTTCATCTGGAACCAAAAACCAGCGCGTATCCGAAGAGCGATTCTTGAACGCCCTAGAGGAGAAGGAGGTATGGGATTGCCGTCCATCCTCACGTATTACCACGCTACCCATCTGCACAGACTGGTTGATTGGCATGCAAACCCCAGTACAAAGCAATGGGTAGACCTGGAGAAACACCAAGCCCAGGGTCGAATCCCCGCTATGCTATGGCTGGGAGACGCACTACCCAAGGAACTACTTACCGGGAACCCAATGATCGACGCCACGCTGAAGGTGTGGTGTAGGATACGTTACTCCAAAAACCTCACGTCATCGCCCAACCCACTCACACCAATAACACACAATCCGAGGTTAGCGGGAGGGCTAAGCACGGCAGACCTGAAAAACCTCGGAGCAACGGACTGGGTATACGCTAGCCAATGGAACTCCGGGACGACGCTCAAACCCCTGGCAACGCTGATGCAGGACCGTAGGCCCAGTGGCCTAGACACATTCCGATATCACCAAGTGAAAACATACCTCGACGGCATTGCGGGTAAAGGCCACCTACACCGCCCATTGCTGATGATGGAACATCTATGCACGGCCAGACAACACCTCTCACATGGAGTCTCACACCTCTATACCGCGCTGCTAAGCGACGGTGATAAGAGCCCCCTAGGCTTCACATCGCGATGGGAAAGAGAGACCGGGATGGAACTTACGGAAAAGGAATGGCTTAAAATCTTTCAACTAACACACAGGGGGACCATCAGCTCCAAGTTCCAAGAATGCAACTACAAAATTCTAACAGGATGGTACCGGACGCCAGATATCCTGCAGCACGTGCATGAGTCAATTTCAAACGAATGCTGGAGATGCGGCACAGGAATAGGAACCAGCATTCACATCTGGTGGACATGCCCACGTATCGAACCATTCTGGAGGATGATACATCAGACGACCAAAAACATCACGGGCTCAGACGTCCCATTCCAACCCATGCCACTGCTTCTCAACCACACGCGCACGCCGGTGAAGATCTACAAGAAAGGACTCCTCATACACCTACTCACGGCAGCGAAGTCGCTCATCCCACTCCATTGGAAAAGCTCGACGATTCCAACCCTGCAACAATGGGTAGATAGGGTGGAGATGATATATAACATGGAGATGATGACAGCCTCCCTGCAGGGACGCCAGGAAAAATGCGCTTTGGCGTGGTACCCATGGATGGACTACACATCAAAACGGACGGGAGGAGGAGACCCGGTGGAGAGGGACGGCGCCCCCGCACCAACACAACCCACCCAACAGAGCTCTGCACAGACACAGGCAGTGCCAGACGAGTAGATTGCACCCTCAGCACGACGGAGACACATTTCCTACGCGACCCCCCCCTCCCCCCACCCCTCCTACCATATGACACATAGACACACAAAAGACCCGGAGGGACACAACCCCCGGGGGCACGCGGACCGACTTAAGGCTCCGCATAAAGTGGAATCTATGAGTAAGCAGAGACAGAGACGGAGGACCATGGGTCACGGGAGGGGAGGAGTGACCCGCTAGAGCGACATATGGACCAATACACTAGGGGACGGAGGGAAGAGAGAGACCGGGACGCAAGGAACATGGACTCACCCCCACCCCAGACACAAGAAGCCACGACCGGAGCCAGTAGCACCCGGCTCTGACCACGCCAACTAACAACTGGGGCTGCCGCAGGTGGCTTACATAACCCCACACACACACCGAACCCAGCGAGACCCAAGATAAGAGATAACAACCTAGACTTAGGTATCCAGAAGAGTCACGGGGACCGTGCTACATGCCCCAGGGATGATATGATCACACCCACCACACGAACGACTCAAACCAGGGACCTGAGGTGACGACACGGCATCTGACACAGACCCCACACACCGCACAACGACAGAACAAGACATCACAGGACAACCCTACATATACTAGCTGCGCCCACGGACAACCCAGGTCAACTACCCCCAGGGAAAACCTAAAACAGATCGACTCAGGGAAACTAGGGGGTAACTACACGGTCATAGGGGCAAAATAATTGGCCCCCTCATGATTTAAGACTGAGCCCATCCAAACCAGGCTCATTACGACCTAAACCAACACACAAATCAAACACGAACCAGACTGGAACCCCCATACAAAGCCCCAGACGGTACCCCCCCAAAGAAGGACACACGTAGACAGACATAACACGGATTGGGACAAAGCTCTATATCCATCAACCTGGCACTAGAAACACGAACAAATCACCATGTACGAGGCTGGGGACAAAGATGAACTACACCACACATAGACGGAGACTACCACAACTCTTAAGTACCATAGGTCACACTAGACCCAATAAGTAAGTGAGGGGAAACCTTGCACTGAGCCAACCTCTCTATTAGGGTCTTACCTACAAATGAGGAAGCTCAGATACCAATGCAGGGTTGCACAACTCCCCCTCTGACCCACGAGCACTACACAGAGCGGTTGAAACAACCCACCCGAAAACTCGCACGAATCTTGAGGAGCAACCACAAACTCCATTCGCACCCGACCACAGAGGGGATTAACCCCATACAGGGCTAACGACAGAACACAACACAAAAGAACGCTCACTGTTATACTGAAGCCAAATACTCAAACACAATTTATTATCCAGTAGTTGAAACTATCTTGATGCTGTAATACACATAACTGACCAGTTTATCTGTTACCACATGTTAATTTATATTGGATATACATGCTGTGATTGAATATTGAAAAACTTAAATAAAGAATGTCAAAAAAATCAATAAAAAAATCAAGGCATCTCATAAATATGTCCAGAGGTTCCTGGATTTATCAACAGCATTGCTGCAGAGCATTCTATCAGCTTGAGTGCATACTACTTCAAATTGTAACTGTAAACAATAACTTGTAAATGGTGTGCATTATGAATGAAACACAACTGTATGGACGTCATCAGTAGACAGGAACACCCATATTATGGACACTATGCATATTGAGTCAACCTCCCTCTGTGTTTTATTTATAAAAGTCTGTAGCAAAAAGCACAGGTGTGCTGTCTCTGATTTTTTTTTTTTTTATTTGCAGTTGTGGAATACATTACAAGAGATTTGGGGTTTATGTTGTAGAATTGTACATTTGTGAAGCAAAGTCTGAAACATTTCAATGCCAGATCTATAAATGTTTCTGTCAGTGACTTTTGTTTTAAAAATGCCTAGATTTTGGTCACTGCAGTAATGTTGCTGTGGTGATATTTGGCTACCAGGGCACATTATGGGCACAGTAGGTCCCACGACAAACAAACCAGTGAGTATGGCAGAGACATGATGTGATCAGCTCCCATCCTCCTGCTGGCAGTCAGACCTTTACACTGGTACCAAGCAAACACACACAATATCAAGAGGTACATCACATCATGCATTGTGCAGAGCATCTCCTGTCTCCTCACACTCTGCAAAGCATTTCATCTCCTCACACACTCTGCAGAGCATCTCCAGTCTCCTCACACTCTGCAGAGCATCTCCTGCCACCTCGCACTGCATAGCATCTCCTCACACTCTGCAAAGCATCTCATCTACTGCCACCTCACACTCTGCAGAGCATCTCCTGCCACCTCATACACTGCAGAGCATCTCATCTCCTGCCACCTCACACTCTGCAGAGCCTTACCTGCCACCTCACACTCTGCAGAGCATCTCCTGTCTCCTCACACTCTGCAGAGCATCTCATCTACTGCCACCTCACACACTGCAGAGCATCTCCTGCCACCTCACACTCTGCAGAGCCTCTCATCTCCTGTCTCCTCACACTCTGCAGAGCCTCTCATCTCCTGTCTCCTAACACTCTGCAGAGCATCTCCTGTCTCCTCACACTCTGCAGAGCCGCTCATCTCCTGTCTCCTCACACTCTGCAGAGCCTCTCATCTCCTCACACTCTGCAGAGCATCTCATCTCCTGACACCTCATACACTGCAGAGCATCTCCTGTCTCCTCACACTCTGCAGAGCATCTCATCTCCTGCCACCTCATACACTGCAGAGCATCTCCTGTCTCCTCACACTCTGCAGAGCATCTCATCTCCTGGCACCTCACACACTGCAGAGCATCTCCTGTCTCCTCACACTCTGCAGAGCATCTCATCTACTGCCACCTCACACACTGCTGAGCATCTCCTGCCACCTCACACTCTGCAGAGCCTCTCATCTCCTCTCTCCTCACACTCTGCAGAGCCTCTCATCTCCTGTCTCCTAACACTCTGCAGAGCATCTCATCTCCTGTCTCCTCACACTCTGCAGAGCCTCTCATCTCCTGTCTCCTCACACTCTGCAGAGCCTCTCATCTCCTCACACTCTGCAGAGCATCTCATCTCCTGCCACCTCACACTGCAGAGCATCTCCTGTCTCCTCACACTCTGCAGAGCCTCTCCTGTCTCCTCACACTCTGCAGAGCATCTCATCTCCTGTCTCCTCACACTCTGCAGAGCATCTCATCTCCTGTCTCCTCACACTCTGCAGAGCATCTCATCTTCTGTCTCCTCACACTCTGCAGAGCCTCTCATCTCCTGTCTCCTCACACTCTGCAGAGCCTCTCATCTCCTGTCTCCTCACACTCTGCAGAGCCTCTCATCTTCTGTCTCCTCACACTCTGCAGAGCCTCTCCTGTCTCCTCACACTCTGCAGAGCCTCTCAGCCTGGCTCCCTCAGTAGCAGCAGGACACTGTCTCCCTCATGGCTGAGTACTATGTGATCCCTGAGCTCTCTCACAGTAACACATACCCCCCCAGCTCCCACACTGCCTGTCATAACACTTCCTTAATGTCTGTCCATTTCTATTGTCACTCTGTCAATAGCACGCTTCCGCCCAGGGCGGAAACAATCACCTGGAGGATCACGGGAAATGTAGTTCCGCTACCACTTGCTAAAGGCGCATGCGCAAATATCTGGTATTACCATAGAGAGGAGATTCCCGCTGTACTGACCAATCACAGTAAGTACAGGGAGGGGGCGGGGCTCAGACTAAGTCACTCGGCGGCCATGATTGATTGGGTTAAATCCTGTGCTGTGCCCACAGAGTGCCAGGAGCCATGGAACCCTGAGAGCAGTGAGTGAAAGGGATACACCAGGACCTGCTACTAACATCACAGTAATACTATGTATCAACCCTGCATCTCCTGCCAGCAAGGACCACCTACAGCTCACACCTACACTAATTACCCAGGTAAAATCAATTCACATTATATACACCCTGTTATTATATACAGATTATATACACCCTGTTATTATATACAGATTATATACACCCTGTTATTATATAATACCCTGTTATATACAGATTATATAGGTGGGATCTGGTTTTATTCCCCTGTTATTATATACAGATTATATAGGTGGGAGCTGGTTTTATTTCCCCCTGTTATTATATACAGATTATATAGGTGGGAGCTGGTTTTATTCCCCCTGTTATTATATACAGATTATATAGGTGGGAGCTGGTTTTATTCCTCCTGTTATTATATACAGATTATATAGGTGGGAGCTAGTTTTATTCCTCCCTGTTATTATATACAGATTATATAGGAGGGAGCTGGTTTTATTCCTCCCTGTTATTATATACAGATTATATAGGTGGGAGCTGGTTTTATTCCTCCTGTTATTATATACAGATTATATAGGTGGGAGCTGGTTTTATTCCCCCTGTTATTATATACAGATTATATAGGTGGGAGCTGGTTTTATTCCTCCTGTTATTATATACAGATTATATAGGTGGGAGCTGGTTTTATTCCCCCTGTTATTATATACAGATTATATAGGTGGGAGCTGGTTTTATTCCCCTGTTATTATATACAGATTATATAGGTGGGAGATGGTTTTATTCCTCCTGTTATTATATACAGATTATATAGGTGGGAGCTGGTTTTATTCCTCCTGTTATTATATACAGATTATATAGGTGGGAGCTGGTTTTATTACCCCCTGTTATTATATACAGATTATATAGGTGGGAGCTGGTTTTATTCCCCTGTTATTATATACAGATTATATAGGTGGGAGCTGGTTTTATTCCCCCTGTATTATATACAGATTATAGGTGGGAGATGGTTTTATTCTCCTGTTATTATATGCAGATTATATAGGTGGGAGCTGGTTTTATTCCCCCTGTTATTTATTATATACAGATTATATAGGTGGGTTTTACTCTGTTATTATATACAGATTATATAGGTGGGAGCTGGTTTTATTCCCCTGTTATTATATACAGATTATATAGGTGGGAGCTGGTTTTATACCTCCTGTTATTATATACAGATTATATAGGTGGGAGCTGGTTTTATTCCCCATGTTATTATATACAGATTATATAGGTGGGAGCTGGTTTTATTCCCCCTGTTATTATATACAGATTATATAGGTGGGAGCTGGTTTTATTCCCCCTGTTATTATATACAGATTATATAGGTGGGAGATGGTTTTATTACCCCTGTTATTATATACAGATTATATAGGAGGGAGCTGGTTTTATTCCCCATGTTATTATATACAGATTATATAGGTGGGAGATGGTTTTATTACCCCTGTTATTATATACAGATTATATAGGAGGGAGCTGGTTTTATTCCCCCTGTTATTATATACAGATTATATAGGTGGGATCTGGTTTTATTCCCCCTGTTATTATATACAGATTATATAGGTGGGGGCTTGTTTTATTCCCCCTGTTATTATATACAGATTATATAAGAGGGAGCTGGTTTTATTTCCCCTGTTATTATATACAGATTATATAGGTGGGATCTGGTTTTATTCCCCTGTTATTATATACAGATTATATAGGTGGGAGCTGGTTTTATTTCCCCTGTTATTATATACAGATTATATAGGTGGGAGCTGGTTTTATTCCCCCTGTTATTAATACAGATTATATAGGTGGGAGCTGGTTTTATTCCTCCTGTTATTATATACAGATTATATAGGTGGGAGCTAGTTTTATTCCCCCTGTTATTATATACAGATTATATGGGAGGGAGCTGGTTTTATTCCCCCTGTTATTATATACAGATTATATAGGTGGGAGCTGGTTTTATTCCTCCTATTATTATATACAGATTATATAGGTGGGAGCTGGTTTTATTCCCCCTGTTATTATATACAGATTATATAGGTGGAAGCTGGTTTTATTCCTCCTGTTTTTATATACAGATTATATAGGTGGGAGCTAGTTTTATTCCCCCTGTTATTATATAGGTGGGAGCTGGTTTTATTCCCCTGTTATTATATACAGATTATATAGGAGGGAGCAGGTTTTATTCTACCTGTTATTATATACAGATTATATAGGAGGGAGCTGGTTTTATTCTCCCTGTTATTATATACAGATTATATAGGTGGGAGCTGGTTTTATTCCCCCTGTTATTATATACAGATTATATAGGTGGGAGCTGGTTTTATTCCCCCTGTTATTATATACAGATTATATAGGTGGGAGCTGGTTTTATTCCCCTGTTATTATATACAGATTATATAGGTGGGAGTTGGTTTTATTCCCCCTGTTATTATATACAGATTATATAGGTGGGAGCTGGTTTTATTCCCCCTGTTATTATATACAGATTATATAGGTGGGAGCTGGTTTTATTCCCCCTGTTATTATATACAGATTATATAGGTGGGAGCTGGTTTTATTCCCCCTGTTATTATATAGAGGGAGCTGGTTTTATTCCCCCTGTTATTATATAGGTGGGAGCTGGTTTTATTCCCCTGTTATTATATACAGATTATATAGGTGGGAGTTAGTTTTATCCCCCCTGTTATTATATACAGATTATATAGGTGGGAGCTGGTTTTATTCCCCCTGTTATTATATACAGATTATATAGGAGGGAGCTGGTTTTATTCCCCCTGTTATTATATACAGATTATATAAGTGGGGGCTGGTTTTATTCCCCCTGTTATTATATACAGATTATATAGGAGGGAGCTGGTTTTATTCCCCCTGTTATTATATACAGATTATATAGGTGGGAGATGGTTTTATTCCCCCTGTTATTATATACAGATTATATAGGAGGGAGCTGGTTTTATTCCCCATGTTATTATATACAGATTATATAGGTGGGAGATGGTTTTATTACCCCTGTTATTATATACAGATTATATAGGAGGGAGCTGGTTTTATTCCCCCTGTTATTATATACAGATTATATAGGTGGGATCTGGTTTTATTCCCCCTGTTATTATATACAGATTATATAGGTGGGGGCTTGTTTTATTCCCCCTGTTATTATATACAGATTATATAGGAGGGAGCTGGTTTTATTCCCCCTGTTATTATATACAGATTATATAGGTGGGATCTGGTTTTATTCCCCTGTTATTATATACAGATTATATAGGTGGGAGCTGGTTTTATTTCCCCTGTTATTATATACAGATTATATAGGTGGGAGCTGGTTTTATTCCCCCTGTTATTACATACAGATTATATAGGTGGGAGCTGGTTTTATTCCTCCTGTTATTATATACAGATTATATAGGTGGGAGCTAGTTTTATTCCCCCTGTTATTATATACAGATTATATGGGAGGGAGCTGGTTTTATTCCCCCTGTTATTATAGACAGATTATATAGGTGGGAGCTGGTTTTATTCCTCCTATTATTATATACAGATTATATAGGTGGGAGCTGGTTTTATTCCCCCTGTTATTATATACAGATTATATAGGTGGGAGCTGGTTTTATTCCTCCTGT